TTAAGGGTCTTTTTCTTTTTAAGAATTGGTTTTTCGGTAATCCGATTATGGCCAAATCAGCATCCCATCATCAATACAAATAACAATACAAAACTACAACAATATTGGGTGGAGGATTTTCAAGACAATAAAGAAAAAACGATTCTTCAAAAGAGTTTGATATCGTGTATCTTGGTAACTAGCCATTTCCGGACCTATGCTTATACGAAATGTTCGTCTTAGAATTACCAGAATAATCGCCTCTTGAAGTTTGGCCACATACTTTAATAACACCCTGTATACATATACAGGGTGAGTCAAGAATGTGTACCGAAATTTCTGGAGGTGATAGAACATTGAATAATAAGTATAGTTTTATAAATAAAGTAGTGGCCCAAAATGTTTATTAAGGGAGATATATCCTTCCAAAGTTGATTGAATTCAATTATTTTTTTGGCACCCGTTCGGGAAGTGCTCACTTATCGGACGCTTTTTTTTGAGAAAGTAGTACGTATTTCCCGGACGCAATTTTACTAAATATACTGTACGCTAGCACAAACCACGCCCACCGTAATATCTCATCTTCGAAGTACTTAGGCAAAACTCAGAGACTATTTATCCTTAACGAACTAACCTATCCCTGATTGCAATATTTTTGAGGAAGGAAAACCAGAATATAGTGTAGAAACACATTGATTAATAATATATTTCAAAAGTTGAGTTCTTCAACAAAATTGAATAAAATGAGACCGTTTATCCTAAACGCACTAACCTATTTGACTTCAAATATTTTATGAAAAAGGAAAACCAGAATGAAGTAAAAAAACATTGGTGAAAAAAAAAGTTGCAAAAAAAAGTTCAAGCTCACAGCGATTCGAACCATGGACCTTCAGACTGAAAGTCGACAGCGCTAACCAGTAGACCATTTGGGTATATGAATTTATTGCGTACAAGAGATTGACAACGAGAGAGCTTCAGTCGAATACGTGTCAAAATCATAAAAAGTGTATTCTTGCGTTGGAGCACAGTATATTTAGTACGATGTGCTGACTCCGAGTATATCGGTAATGTTTGGAGATATGACGTATTATGGTGGGCGTGGTTTGTGCTAGCGTGCAGTATATTTAGTAAAATCGCTTCCCGGACTAGGCCGGGAAGTATCACATCGCTGTTGTCACTGTATCTATGAAAATCTTGGTAGATATGGTTTTGATAAATGCAGATGATTATTACTATAGCAGCGAAGTATCGGCTGACAGCTATTTGACATGAAATTAGTGGACATTCTGATTTTTGTTAGTTTGGTTGCTTTTTTTTTTTTTTTTTTTTTTTTTTTTTTTTTTTTTTTTTTTATCGCTTGGAGCGCACGAAAGGGAATCCCTATAATGTTCAAAGAACATCGTGCGTTCCTAATAAACTATCGAAAGCAACTGCTATAGTGAGTTTGAAAATGTCCATACAAAATTTCCAATGTAACAGTTAGTAGGTATAGGTATTCTGTTCAAATTTCAGTATTTGATACAAATGAGAATTAATAAGGAAGAAATAATTGTATTCTACAAAGAAATATAATATGAAAATGTGTCTCTTTGATTTGTTATTCTACATAGTTGCCGAAAAATACTGTACGTTCCAGGACTCGCCTACGGCTCGCTCTAGAATTTTGTCTACTTGTCCAAAAAAACAGTATTTTCCTGACTTAGTTCAAAACGGTAGAAGCCACTATATTGAAATTTCCCGCATGAATATATGTTGATAAAATACATTCTTCTGATACACTTCTACAAATCTGCTATAGTTATAAAGGGTGTTTTCAGAGGGTGGGCCAAGATTTTTTGAAGACAATCTTCATCCTTGTATTATTTTTGGTGAAAAAACAGTAGCCTACGGTTCATGCTGCAAGCTTCATTCTCGTCATTCCGTGCACGTTAAACAATCTAACATATCTGGATCTGCTATAGTTTATAAAAAGGTGTTTTTAGAGGGTGGGCCATGATTTTTTGAAGACAATCTTCATCCTTGTATTATTTTTGGTGAAAAAACAGTAGCCTACGGTTCATGCTGCAAGCTTCATTCTCGTCATTCCGTGCACGTGAAACAATCTAACATATCTGGATCTGCTATAGTTTATAAAAAGGTGTTTTTAGAGGGTGGGCCATGATTTTTTGAAGACAACTTTTACCCCTATATTATTTTTGGACCAAAAAGGATCGACCGATACCGATATCGCTATCGGTATATCGGCCATATCGGCGTGTTTGGCCGATATCGGTATCGGCCGATATGAAGAGGCAATATCGGTATCGGCTTAGTAATAATGAAATGAAATTTAATAGTCCTTAAAATGGTGTAACTTTTTACCTGAAAGAAAAGAAAAACACAAAAACAAACCCTCCAAAAAATATATTTTGTTTAAAATAATATATATGTACAGGGTGATTCACCATAAATGTCCCCCCTCTAGCTCAGTTATTTTTGAACCGATTTTAAAATTTGAAATATCATCTTGCATGATTTTCGATAAAGTTTTTTTCCGCTAGATCAGAAAATACAGGGTGCTCGGAACAAACGATCTGCAGGGTACTATTTGATTTTTTTAAATGGAACACCCTATTTTTCATTGTATTTTTAGATTCTCCCTGAAGAGCTGATTTGATCAATGTATCCCACTTGGGGTCTAGCGGGACTGATTACAGAGATATAGGGTGTTCAAAATCGAGATTTTTAACTTTAGGATTTTTTTTGTGACGAAACTATTCATTATCGGTCACGCGGTTTTCATGTCCGTATTCCGTATCTTAACTTTTTATTTACTATCTACTGACATTTAATAATTGGAACAGATACAGGGTGACCAGAATTCTGAATCTTGAACCACCCTGTAAATGTTCCAATTAAATTTCACTAGATAGTAAATCGAAAGTTGGGATGGGAACATAGAAGCCGTTTTGACCAATAATGAATAGTTTCGGCACAAAAAAATCCTAAAGTTGAAAAATCTCGATTTTGAACACCCTATATCTCTGTAATCCTTCCCGCTAAACCCCAAGTGTGATACATTGATGAAATCAGCTCTTCAGGAAGAATCTAAAAATACAATAAAATACAGGGTGTTCCATTTAAAAAAATCAATTTGTACTCTGTAGATCGTTTGTTCCGAGCACCCTGTCTTTCTGATGCAGCGGGAAAAAAATTTCAGAAAAATCATTTTAGATTATCTTTCAAATTTTTAAAATGGTTCAAAAATAAGTGAGCTAGAGGGGGGGGACATTTATGGTGAATCACCCTGTACTCAAAAATATTGAAAAACAAACATAAATTCTAAGAAAGAAACCAAATATTGAACACAAAATATTTATAAACAAACATGAAATTCTAAAAAAATACCAAAACTCATTTTTAATGTTGAAAAATTAACAGTTATTTAAAAAAAAATACTTACAAAACGAATATTAATGTTTAAAATTAAGTTGCGGTAAATTATAATGTAATAAAATTTAATTTTCAGCTCTTTCAGGCGTTAGTCGATTTCTAGCGTCAGTAGCGTCCTCGTATACGTTTCCAGCTGAAGAAAATAGCTGTTCGCTCGCCACTACTGGGTGGTGGTGCTAAATATATATTTATACAGTAGTGAGAAGTTATTTTTCTCTTTTCCTCACCACATCAAAGGATCTTCATTTTTCAAAATATTTGTTAGTTTTATGTATATTAATATATACATCATACAGGGTGGTCCGTTTTTTAATACGGAAAATTTAACAGCGTATAGTACTCGTTGAAATAATAAAAAATCTTTCTATGAACATATATACTTTTAAACACTTCGTTTTTGAGATATTGGGTGCCAAAAATACGCTTCTGAATATATTTTTTTAATCAAAAGTTAGAAACGGTATAGATAAATTAACGAAATTTTTCACAGATACTAAACTTTTTGAGCTTTATTAGATTAAATGAAAATTATTCATAAAAACGATTCAGTGGCGGCTGAATCTGGGGTGGCGAAGGTAATAATTACACAAATTTTTCGGGTAATTATTTCTCATTAATTTTTCAAGTTTCAATGAAAAAAGCTCGCTTGTAAGATTTTATAACATTTTTTAGTTAAATAATACTACTTGATATCAACTAAACAAGTAGGCTATGCTCAAATGCTCACTGTTAACTGTTTCGAAGACAAATAGCAGGATATCCACTGCGGTCTATGGCCTGTTGTGACTCTAATACGTAAATGATTGATTTGCAATGGTTACATGATTGGTTTGGTAAATGGCCAATGCTAACTAGATTCAATGCATTACAATGTTTCTTTCATTGGGTTTAGAGACATGTATAGGTTTGGTTTTTATTTTTCCTTCTGAAACGAAGATTTTGAAATGCACGCCCCTGAAAATATGTGACTCATTCATGAACTGTAATAGGTCTAAAAGTTAGCTCATTGATATTTCCACAATAGATGTGAATTTCATCACAATCGGTTATAGCATTTCTGAGAAATCAATAAATAATCGATTTTTTAAAGAAACTTGAACACCCTATATCTCGAAAACGAAGCGTTTAAAAGTATATGTTCATAGGGAGATTATTTATTATTTCAACGAGTACTATACGCTGTTGAATTTTCCGTATTAAAAAACGGACCACCCTGTATATTCTTCTTCAATATCGACTTTTTTAGTAATTTAAAATTTACGCATAGAGTTTTCCCTTTGGTTTCTCACCATTTTAAATATATTTTTCAAGGGAAAAACAATACTTGAAATTTTCGGCCGATATATCGGTATCGGCCGATATCGGCCATGCCTATATCGGTATCGGCCGGTATCGGTATCGGCCTCAAAAAATCATATCGGTCGATCCCTATATTGGTAAAAAACAGTAGCCTACGGCTCATGCTGCAAGCTTCATTCTCGCCATTCCGTGCACGTTAAACAATCTACTATTTCCATACCCGTAACGAAAACCGCAATTCTCCATTCCAGATTTCTGGCTGGCCAGACTGACATGGAGCACCATTGAAAATGCGCACCCCCATAATAAACACCACCGAAACCACCCTTTCCCGCTCCGAGCCTACGAAACAGTCGTCTACGTCACCATTTCCTACCTACCAAGTGCCTCGAAAGTCAGCCATGGGGGGTAGCGCACCCCCGAAAACACCCCCACCACCCCCATTACTAGTAGTACAACAAAAAGATGATGATGGAAAAGATGAAGAAGAAGAAGAATTAGTAGGAGAAGAAGAAGTCGCTGGGGCTGTTGGGGGGGGCCGAGCCGCGCCCCCCAGTTCGCTCCCTCGCATCGGCGTCCCGCTCCCCTTGCAGGGGGGAGGGGGCGTCCCCCCGTCTGTGATATCCGGCTCAAGTTGCCATTCGACGATTGGCAACTCTAATCTTAGGTAAGTTTTTTTGTTTTAGGGTTAAAATTATATTTATTTAATTTAGTCACCCTGTATAGTTGACTATATTATTTACTCAGCTTGAAAATAAACGTATATTTTTGAAGGACAGAATGTATTCAAATAACAAATACAAAAGTGTTTGATTATTTTAATCCATTAGGATAATCAAAATTAGTATTATTTCATGATTTTATATTTCAAAAATTCAGGAAATTTCTTGATAAATGAATATCCGAGGAGTGATTATCTAGCTCCTGTCGTATTCATAGTATTCATATACTTGGGAAGTATTTAAATACTCAAAAAATTTGTACTTCAAACAAGATGTAAATGAAAAACATTGAGGATGATATTATATTTTATGTAAAAAAAAGGTACACATCAACATTTGTTCTGAATTACTTGTGAACCAACTACAGACTACACTATTATTATCATGAAAACTCTTTTTTTTGTGACGGGAAATAGTTTGATATTTCATCTCTGCTGACAGGTTATAAAATATCACTTTTCATAAATTACCTTTTTCCCATAGGTGAATACTTTTTTCCCGGATATACAGGGTGTCTGTAAAAGGTCTTCACAAAAACATACCACATTTTCTTTAGACCAAAATAAGTCGATTTAAGTAAAATTACCTTAGTACAAAGTTGCATCGTTTGGGCTCCAGAGGGCCTTGAAGTTACAATTTTTGAATCGTTTTTCCCATAAAAATTTGAAACGGCATATGCGATTTTGCTGAAATTTGGTATATTGATAGAGTTTTATGTGGCAAAACAAATGGTGTTGAAATTTTGTCCGATAATAATACATAGGCGTAGAACTTGATTTTTTAAATAATTGCACCTTTAAAAATTCTACGCCAATGGAAGAAGAGGAGTTTGGGTATGAAATTTAGATTGCGCAAGTCATTTACTTTAATAAAGGTACTTTTGATAAGACTTGATTGCTCTCATGGTTTTGACGAAATTTGCATTTTAGTAATTTTAGAACATAAACAATAATAATTATTAAAATACAAACTTTGAGTAGGCATAAAAACTTTCGGAAATGTCACATTCTGATCTAGAATTGTCTCAGAAATCCAAAAATGTCACAATATACAGGGTGTTCCATTTAAAAATTTAGAATCGGAACCATTTCCGGTGAAACCGGAAGTGACCGGAATGTAAAAACTATGTGAAATATATCACATACCATTTACCTATACCAAATCTCATTTTGATACACCTGATGGTCTAGAAGTTATGACTTGTCTAATAGATTCGTTGACACCCGGTATACATACACTCTTGATGGCTTTAGTTGTGCTATAGTTCCGAAAAATAAGCCAATCTTCCATTCGACTTCGCGGTTTAAACAACCATCAAATTCACAATTTTTGAAAATCAAATCACATATTTAGACTGACAGATATTTGACTAACTTCAAAAGAATGTTAGAGATGCATGCAAAAAGATGCCTGCAACGCAGGTATCACTCCTGTTCACGTCGATAATCCTCTGATTTTAATATAATGTAAAATATTGATTCATCCTTTTTTCTGTCACAGAAGAAAATAGTGTATTATACACGGGAAAAATATTAGATTTCAGAGCACGGATTTTTATTTTCCTCCCAACACAACCTTTTGCTAAAATCTACTACTTTTTTCCCTTGTATAATAAATAGCTATTTTTATCCATTGCTTGAAAAATAATTTTTCTCAATTTCCATGAAACTTGGTGGTTTTGATAATAGTAACATGGAGCTTCTTTTGTTATGAGTAGATTCGGAATAATAATTCCAGTGACGTCGCAGTCGGTTACTTCATCGAAATCTTCTATAGGAAATATCGTTGTTGGCCACCCTCATTTTTTAGATTGATCAGTTGAAATTTCAATTTTCTTGCCCCTTGTATCTCCTTTAGTTTTAAAAAATCAAATTTTAATGTAGGTGCTCTCAACCTCAATGAGTATCATTTTGAAATCTTGAGACTTAATCAGTCGCCAACTAGACTTAAATTTCGACACTATGAGAGCTCAAACAGAGGTATAAAAACAATGAATACTCTCAACTCCAACATGCAGTATCTCAAAAACGAAGTAAGTGAAGACATAATATGTTTATTTTAAATTTTTCCCCTGAAAAATAACAAATCATGAACTACTTTTTTTGGCACATATTTGTCTACTCTCCGAATACTAAACAGTATTGAGAAGTTTTTATGAATGCAAATAATGCACAGTCCTGAACTGCACAAGGAGTTTCCATTTATTGTGGAGAATTTAAACAAATATCGCCCCCACCCTTTCGAAAAAAAAAAAAAAAGGAAGAGCCCCCCCGCCTGTAATATCCGGCTCAAGTTGCCATTCGACGATTGGCAAATCAAATATTAGGTAAGTCGGAATTTTCCTTGAAAAATAAATCGTATTTGGCAGTTTTTTCTTGTTTTATTCACACTGTATCATTTATTATTTACACTAACAAGATGAACATTGATCACGCATTTATTTTCACCCCTGTTTTTGAAGGAATTTTTTGGCACAGATTTACGCAATAAATTGGTATTTATTTTTTTCCATGGAAAAGAAGCAAATTATCAAAACAATTCAGGAGACCAAAATGTTGTATTTTTAGTTGGTCAATAGGTTATAAAGATACAGAATTCAAAAAAATTAGTTTCGCACATTTCACTGACAATAATATTCGGTAGGTTGCCCCCCAGGACGCCACTGGATTTCATAATTCCAATTGAATTATGACTATATTAGTCCCTCATGACAAGAAATATCATAGTCAAATTTTAAGAAAATCGGTGGAAGGACATTTGAGATATTCATTAAAAACCCGATTACTTTCAAAAGTTTAACACACTGTATGTTGAAAACTATGCGATTCTGGACCCACGTAACATATAATATGAATTTCTTATTTTATATCATGTAGTATCACCCCCTTGATTTTTTGCGCATAATTTCCGGACACCTTGTATAACCAGGTAATTCAAGAATCAGTAGGGGGGGGGGGGGGGAGAAGTGACTTTAACAGGCACTGTATTTGTATTTGTTTCTATAACAACTGGTAGATTTGAATTCTCATTTACAACTTCCATTTAATGATGAATTAAACCTCTGGTGCGCTCACTCTTCATTTGTTTCGTCAGACTGGTTCTTGATATAAACAATTGAATTTCAGACGATGACGTGGGGTTCACATATCGAATGTTAGATGGCGTGATTCTTAGAACTTATCAAGGTTGGTAGAACTGATTATAATTTGTATAGGAAGGTTGCCTCGATCGATAGTGCGGCAAGGGGGGAAACGGTCACTCGTGACGTCACAGGCAGTAAGATAAGATGACAAGTTGTCAACCTTAAAGCAAAATGTCATGAAATGTTGTTTACCAGATAGAGTATACAAACTTTTTGGTCTGCTCAGCATATTTATATCAAGGGTATATAATTATTAGTACCATTATAAAATATGGATATTTACATATACTTCTGTATAGTACCTTCAATCTTCGAAATGGGAAGGCAATTTTGGATGGATCATTTTCATCATGGATGAATCAGTAGTACAGAGAGGAATACCTATCTGAAATTTTGTTCCAGGGGCTATTTACCAGGTCCTGGTACCAGGTATGTGTGTTTTGAGGTATGGAGCATAATGGAGCTAGTGATTACTTAATATGCATTGATTATGAACCTACACATCCTATAAATATCCTGCAAATCAGATAAAGTGAACAAGAAACTACCGAAAATAAAAGAATAATCATCTGATGATCCAGAAGTAGTAGCAGTGGACCAATATTCGTACACATCAGACCCCTTATTTTATCAATATAACTCTGTAATCTGAAAAATTAACAAACCTTCCTAGATACTATAGAAAATACAAGAGGAAATAGTATTTCATTGTTCGATTATATTGTAGTGTCAAAACAGAGCAATTGAAGTGTTTGAGCAGAAAAAAATAACAAAATGTGATTCTGTTCAAAATAACAAAATTAATAAAAAATAACACTACTATTATAAGTGAACCTATAGTAAAGGATAGTTCAAGGAATCTCTGAAATAAACATAGCTCCTCTTCGTTGGGTAACGTCCTCTAGCTCAAATATCTCGACTTGAAAACAGGTGTGATATCTTCTGATGTCCATTTCACCCGTTCAGCAAGAATCTCAACATTCACAACTGGTCTGGTTCTGATCATTTTTCCAAACTTCCATACTTATGGTGTTTCTCTTCTTGTATTTGGTATTATTGATGGGATTCCTACCTTAAGTTTTCTTCTCTTTGGTGTGTGATTTAGCAATTCTGCTTGTGCCGTTCAAAATCCTCGGCATCGAAATGGGCAGAACATATTCGCCAAGTTTTGGTATTAAATGAATTGAAATCACGTCCAGAATTGAATCCATTTCTCACGAATAGACTCATCTTGTGGAAATTAAAGGAACCACAAACTAAATTCACTAGTCTTATTACACTTGTACGAATTTTAACAAGAAGTGACTGAACAAATCATCATTTTTACATTTTTAATTTCAAAATGATTCAAATATTCGAAAATACTGACAACTACAACTGTCACTTCAATACATGCGCCGGCGTACATATTATACACGAAGTGTACGAAAGTGCTACACTTTTCGTTCAAAAGAAAGGGCCTATTACGTCATGAGTTACTCGCGGGGTGCGATCATGGTGCGATCGAGGCAACCTTCCTCTACAAAATAATCATCAGTTCTACCAACCTTGGAACTTATGATCAACATCAGTTCTACCAACCTTGATGCGGCTAAATCGCAAAATGTATTCCCTATCTTCATTGGTCACAATTCGGTCACAATTGTCACATTGATGCCAGTAATTTTGGTACGGCACCAGACTAATAGCGAATCCCATTGGGAAAACTAGTGCGCACTGAGTGCATATGATGCGTCCCATTGGTATAATCAGTTGTAGTTTTTAAGTCCCATTGAAAAACTAGTGCGGCCAGTTTTGCACCCAGTGCAAGAATTTTCGCACCAGCTCTCGGAGGTCGTGCGTATTCTGGTGCACTGAAAAAAATGGCGGGTACCAGCGATTCAGATAAAGCCAGTCTGCTACTATTTTTGGTCGTTCAATTCTTGGAGAAGAGACCCAGTCCAAAAATTAATAATTTCATTGTAGATGTTGTACATAGACAAAGTGATGAGGAGGTGAAATATCTAGACAATCAACTTGGTACTTGAGTTTTTGAAACCCATTTATTATATTGCAGTTCAGACGTAATTTCAGGATGCGAAGGGACACGGCATATGAATTAATCCATAATTTTAGTACATCAAAATTTTATCCACAGGATTTGAAGCATGGTGGGAGAACACCTATATCTGCTGAGGCACATGTGTTATCATTCTTGTGGTATGGAGTTGGTTTAATGAAACTTTGAATTATACGTTTTATTTAGGTTTGCAGGAAATAAATCATCAATAAGAGATGCGTCTCAAAGATTCTGCATGACTAAGTCCTCTCTAGGACGAGTTATAGTGCGTGTAACAGATTTCCTGTTAGATCTTGCACCAACTATTATCAAAATGCCAAATGAAAGGGAGGTGGAACATTTTGCATCTGAATTCCAAAAAGTACTTATCAACTATTATACCTAAGTAAATTTCATTTCCATAGTTTCATTTATTCAGTAGGACAATTACAAATCTTATGAACTCAACTAACTGATTAATGCCTTCCTAATCAACATACACATTTTTGTAATGCAATTACCTATTTTGTAGGTTTCTGGATTTCCAGGTGTGTTGGGTTGTATTGATGGTACATCAATCAGTATAAGAACTCCAGCTCATAAATTGAAAAATACATATACAAATCGCCACGACCTACCAGCAATCACTCTTCAAGGGATTTGTGATTATAGGAGGCGGTTCATTGATGTTTTTGTGGGTGTACCAGGAAAAGTACATGATGCACGTGTCCTTAAATTATCACCTATCTATCAGAGACTTCCGACATTATGTGGTACCAAATACAACATTCTGGGGGATGGAGCATATTTCATAAGAACCTGGTTACTAGTACCTTATAAAGATTACGGGAATAAACAGTTGACTAATGGTCAAAAAAATTTAATCAGACTTTGAGTGCAATCAGAGTGCTAATTGAAAATACATTTGGAATCCTTAAAGGTAGATTCCGGCAACTCCATAATGTTGATATGTTATCAGTGGAGAAAATAGTGAGATTTATAATTGCATGTTGTGGTGTCCATAATTTATGCATAGATGCTAATGATCACATTGAAACTGGAGAGATTGTTCCATCCCATACAGAGAAAGACCACCTTCATGAGGAAACTGAATGGCGTCTCAGAAAAAAAGGTGAAGAGAAGAGGGAAGAAATAAAAAACATGATGGAGTTTATATTATAGTGAAATGAATATTCCTTTTCTGTCCAGCATTTTTCTATATAGTTATTGATATTACTGTTACTGATCATTGATATGCTTGTCATTGGTAATAAAAATATCATGAACCATGATGTAATTTTATTGAAAACTTTCAAGGAAAAACTAAACAAAAAATTCAACAAATAAACTATTGAAATATTTAAGGTAAAATATTTTTATTAGGAACCATTAGTCCCTTTTGAAAAGTTCTCTTATTAATTCCAGTTTTTCTTTGTGTCTCCTTTCTTTGGCATCTTCTTTTTGTTTGTGAATTTCAATTAAAGTCTCATGAATAGATTTGTGTTTCCTCACAGGCTTTATTGATTGTGATACTGATGGTGTTATATTTTCTTTTTGAATTGGTTTGAGAACTTGTATGTTCTGAGCAGTACCCAAAACCTCTGGCTCTATACTGTCATCTAAGCTAGATATTTTATTGAGTTCTTCTTCAAATGGGATGTCCATGCGGCTTGACCCAGTTCTTCTATTATTTTCAACAGCAGATTTTTTCCTCTTCAAAACTGTTTTGTATCTATTCTCCACTTGTATTGAAGTTCTTTGTAGGTTGAATTTTTTGTTGAGAATGTCTGTGATTTTATTCCACATGTTTCTTTTGTTTTTAAATTTTTTCATGGGCCCTACATTGGACATAAATTGTTCATAGTACTCCAATAAAACTTTGGTTTCAGCATCAGTCCAGTCTGGAAAAATATCCTCAAGACATACATTCATTGAGTATTTTCAACATCTTACCACAACGGTGCTTCACATTGCCATCAGAAAATGGAACTGCTTCTTCTTGCCAGCTGTCATTATCTTCATTGTGTTGGAGAGAATATATACTGCCTTCACTGATGGAACCCACTTCTTGACAGTCCTCATTATCAGTGTCTTTGTTGACTTGAGCAGTTTGTGGTGCAGTATATATCAGAATATTACTGTGGAAAATGAGTCAAGTTATTAGTGACCAACAAAGTATATTTTGTTCTTAATTGTGTGAACATAATCAACTTGATTACTTTGTCATACCTTTCGCCCTCTACTCTCCATATCCTCTGCAGTGGTTCCCTTATGGAAATAAGTCCATTGTTTATCAACTCGATTATGTAGTTTGATGTGTAGCCATCATTATCTGTAAATAACGTTCATTCAGTTCATTGCGCATGTAAGGCTGGAACGTTGAGGGGGCTAGCCAATTATATTGTATCATATCCATAGATTTCATGTCTATCATTGGTATACTTACTTGTTAATTTCGAAATATCCTCGGTTTCCTGAAGTGGTATTGATAGATTTATGATTTCATCATTTATTCTGAAGACAATTTCATATGCTGGTGTAGGGATACCTTCCATATTTGATATTTATAATCAAAGCTGAAACAAAAGCTGAATGTGGCTGAAGTCGAAAACGAAAACCTAACCTATCCCCTTACATAATGTTTTTGACATTTTAACGGGCGTCCCATTGGAATTGAACCAGTTCAAAACCAAGACAGTGTCAGTGCAGAACCAGTTCAAAACGAGTGCAGCACTAGTTTTCCCAATGGGATTCGCTATAAATTTAGCGACATTCACCCACGCCATGTTATGATCATCAAAGTAGGCGAAAATCAAGGAATTGTAAAACAGGAAAGGATTGAAGTGCGTACACCAGAGGTTTATTTCATCAATTTCCATTTCAAGATACTCGACCATGAACAATTAATCTTCCCCAGAAACCACCAAAGTACTCAATATAAATACCTGGAAGGGAGACGGCCGTTCTCTCGAATAGCACAAAGTGTGTCAGGGGCAGCTGCAACAAAGATACCTCGTGTTACGGTAACCTGTCTCTTTCCTACTCGTGTTGTTTAATGGTGGATTGGTGTTTACTTTTTTGTATCTAATAATTAAAAGTATTTTAGCTTTTTTTCTCATCTAAACAAGCAAGAAAGTGAAGACATAAGTTCATTGTCTTTGTTTATGTGAAATATCTATTCATTTGGCGTGTTTTGTTTTATAAAAAGGACTGAATTTGTTGGTGTAAACACTGTGAACTGATAGTTGAGAAGGTTTTGATAAACAATGGTGATTTATTGTGTCACCTTTGGATGCAAGAACGAGCAAGACAAAAGGAAATTGTCATTCCATGGGTAAGTTGAATATTGTTCAGATTTATGGGGAATATAGTTCTTGAAATGATCATCAGTTAGGTGTACAATGTTTCCAGTCTCAGAAAAACTATACCTATATAATTTGTCAAAGTTGAGTACTTCCATGACTTTGTTGCATTCTTCCATTCAAAAGACCAGACATTCTTGAATTATGGATTAAGGCACTTCATAGAGAAAATTGGACTCCATCTAAAACCAGCAAGCGTTGTAGAGACCATTTTCTGCCAACTGATTATTCAGACCAGGTACTGCTATGTGATTGAAACCAGATGCTGTACCCAGCATATTTTCATTTCCTAAGCATTTATTACCAATAAATGCTGATCCTCGCAGGAAAATAAAAAACTCGTATGTTCCTAATTGATTAATAATGAAAAAAAGTATGTTTTGCACCACTTTGAAATGAAAAACTAGCTAGTAATTCATTTTCAGGATGCATCTGTGAACGTTCATAACTTGGGTCCTCAGGAAGATGTTTCTCATATTATGGACTTTGATTTGCCTACGACTTCCAGCTCCCAAGTTTCCAAGTTCATCAATAAAAAAACCCAAACTGTTTCATTCGATAAGAATATTGTAACTAAGAATTGTATTTTTTTAATTTATAATATGGATATGTTTGTAATAATAATAATAATAATAATAATAATAATAATTTTTATTTTCTGTTAAATGTATAACATGAAACAGTAAAGTACGTCAAAAAAAAGAAAAAATATAACAAACAAACAATGCGACAGCATCACAATTAAATACAATATATTCATCACGTTACTAACATTACATAGAATTACATAAAATACTCATCCAGCGTATAGCAGGCCTTTTGAATTAGCTGTTGTTTAAGCCTCTTTTTAAATATATTCAAGTTTTTGGAGCTCTTAAGTTGTTCATCAAGAGAGTTATATAGTTTACAACCAGTATAATGAAAACTTTTCTGGTACAACGTAGTCTGGTGTCTCTCAGGTTGGAGGTGGCTTTTAAAGCGTGTATTATGATCGTGCTTCTCAACAGTATTCAAAAACATGTTTTTATTTTTATAAACGTATAAACAAACTTCTAGTATGTATAAACTAACTACGGTTAGGATGTTGGCAGTTCTGAAATATGCTGTAGACTGTAGACTGTAACCTAATGAAAAAATAGGAACCTATGGAAATTTTGCTCAAAATAGACCTTAGGTACTCAATACCATTAATAATAATAATAATAATAATAATAATAATAGAGTTTATTCACAAAGTAAAATAAGTAGGTATAAATAAGTAATAAGTAATAGTAAATAAACATGTATATCACAGAAGCAAAATAATGCTTGTTCGTGATTCAGTTGTTGCTAACAAAACAATGTGTTCAAGAACCTCTTTTTAAATTTTCCCTATCGTTTTTCTTTTTCTTCTGATAGTGCTGAGACATTGTGCTTCGCTCATCCTGTACAGTATATTGTGACATTTGAATGAAAATATGTAATTTCAATTTTGTATTCATTTGACTTCCTGATCCTGAAAGAATAAGAATGAAATTTCATTTTTAAGTCAATAAAAAAATCAATAATACTTTTTTAATGATAATTGATTGCAACATTATCCTTTTTCCTAAATGATTATTTATATTTAATCTCGTTTACTCTGAAATAAAAGCAAAAAAGGAGAAAATGTTTCAAATAATGCGAGCGCTTCCCATTAGCCAACATAAGATAGAAAGAGATAAGTATCCGTTAACACTGCTGGTTGCCTGAACAGTATTTTTGCCTCACTCATCGTTCACATGGGGACCCTTCCAGGTGTTTATATTGAGCTCATTGGCAACGACACGTTACTGCTTCTGAGCACACACCCGCAAATGAATAAGTTCCTATTATCCCCACCATTCGCGAGTTCATTCATTCATCCGTGTTTGGCGTTTAGTGTACTGTTTGGTGATATTTTAATGAATCACGGGGTCCATTGTCATTTGGTCTGAGGTTTAAAGGTATTTTTTGTTTCTTTGAATTCCAGGATGCAATCTGTGACCGAAAATTGTCTTCTGAACTCTGTTACCGTACCAAAAATACAACGTATAGACCATGGCATGGTCGCCCACAATAATAGCTTTAAGTTAGTCAATAAGTTTGGTGCTTTACTACTACTACTACCACCCACCTATGATGACGGACTACACATTCCCAATCAAAAGTCTGAAGACCTCGAAGAACATGAAAGAGAAAATGAAGATGTCGATGGAAAATTGATGATGCTACTCAACGATGACGAATTCGACGATTGCGACAACGACGGAAGGGCGGCGGCGGAGAAGGATCGGCCGCCCTTCGAGAGCGGAGTACCGCCCCTTAGGTTGAGGGGTGGCGGGGAGAGTTCCCTCAGTACCGGTACTTCCGGTTGGGGTACGCCGCCCTCTCAGCAGCCCAACAGCAACAACAACAACGGTGAGTTGTTTATCTCTTCATTCTACAAGAGTGCTGAAATGTAACTTCGCCGCACGAATTTTTGTTTTGAAAGTTTTCCTTCTTCGTACAATGGTACTCTTCCGCACGATTTTTGTATTGTTGAAAATGAGTATATTTAGAACTAACTAAATGATCTTTTTAACTATTTCGTCTTGAGTGTCATTTTGTAGCATTCATATAAAATTTGGTTTGTTAAAAACCTTTTTTTCTACTACTGCTATGAAAAATAGCGCATATCTCATAGCTTACTCAGTTTCAAAACCATGTATTGCCCATACTGTGAAAAATATTTTTTCTCAGGACACTTTGCCAACACCACATACATTTTCATTGAGTATCAACAAATATCAACCAAAACTTGGCTGCTGTTCAGCTTTGAATAGTTGTCACAACTGCCAGAAGAAGTTTTTTAAATTCTTTAGGGCAGTTCTCATTAGTGCTCTTGATAAAAATCGCATTTTCCATCAAATATTGTTCCAACAATTCATAATAAATAATATGATGTATACAGTGTGTCCCACTTACCATGCTCACCATGGGTATCTTTTTAACGGTGAGAGATACGAAATCGGTTAAATGACACCAAATGTGGAGTTTGTGGAGGCCAACTATAATGTGAAAGAATATTTTGATGAAATCTATTCGTTTTTGTTTTATACGCAAAAAACAGATTTTGATCATTTTCCTGTCTCCTCCGTAACTTCTTTATTTATGAAAATATTCAAATAGGAATTTCACATTCTCATGGCAGTTTTTCATAGTGATTTCGAAAAAAATAAGAAATTTATACCAACTCTTCTAGAATTTGAGATATCAGCACCAACTTTAGTTTTTCAAATGTAGGTCATAGCTCACTATGACTTAGTTACAAATAACTTTTTTTTCTCTTACAGATGATATGTCGCAGTAATAGTTTTGTGTTGATAACAACGGAGTTATCGTCATTTATTCAAAAACAAAAAATTATTTGGAAGCCGCCATCTTGAATTCATAAATTTTAACAAAAAAATCATGATCTCCGACCTCAAAAACCCCTACTTACCAATTTTGAATGGAATCGGACCAAATCTTGTCCGCCATCTTGGAGCAGCCATTTTTTTTTTAATTTCAACAAAAATTCCATAATGAATTGTCACCGAAATTATGAACACCTGCCAAATTTCAAGTTAATCGAAATTATGGGATTTTCGCTGAAATTAAAAAAAATGGCTGCTCCAAGACGGCGGACAAGATTTGGTCCGATTCCATTCAAAATTGGTAAGTAGGGGTTTTTGAGGTCGGAGATCATGAGTTTTTGTCAAAAATCATAAATTCAAGATGGCGGCTTCCAAATTTTTGTTTTTGTATAAATGACGATAACTCCGTTGTTATCTACACAAAACTTCTACTGCGATATATCATCTGTGAGAGAAAAAAAAGTTATTTGTAACTAAGTCATAGTGAGCTATGATGACCTACATTTGAAAAACTAAAGTTGATGCTGATATCTCAAATTCTAGAAGAGTTGGTATAAAATTCATATTTTTTTCGAAATCACTTTGAAAAACTGCCATGAGAATGTGGAATTCCTATTTGAATATTTTCATAAATGAAGAAGTTACGGAGGAGACATGAAAATGATCAAAATCTGTTTTTTGCGTATAAAACAAAAACGAATAAATTTTATCAAAATATTTTTTCACATTATAGTTGGCCTTGACAAACTCCACATTTGGTGTCATTTAACCGACTTCGTATCTCTCACCGTTAAAAAGATACCCATGGTGAGCATGGTAAGTGGGACACACTGTATATGCGAAATGTAGACGAAAGGGAAATCGTAGAGAATGTTTTGGTACTTGAATATCTCCAAGAATTATAAAGCATGAATGAATGTAAAAAATCGGTTTTCTTAGTGGTAAAACAGTGTGTCTACACTACACACATTGTAATATTTGCAAGTATTATTTCGTCTTCAGGAAACAAAAGCAACGGGCAACAGCAGCCGCCCGCCGCCCAGCAAACGACGAACTCGGGGGGCGGTTGGGGCCAACAGCCCGGCGGCGGCGGCGGCAAACCTGCGGGCGGCAACGGCGCGATGCCGCCTCCCAACGCCGCCCTCGGGGTGGGCGGGGGGCAGCAGCAGCCGCCCGCCGCGGCCGTAGTCGCCGCCCCCAACGCCCAGACCAACGGGCCGACGAGCAGCAATACGAAGCAGCAGCTGGAGCAGCTGAATAATATGCGCGAGGCTATTTTCAGCCAAGACGGCTGGGGTGGGGTGAGTGATATCAAATTTTTTCCTTCTCATTTTCTTGTCATTTCATTGTAATTTTGTGATCATTTTTTTTCCATAAAAAAAATCATGTGGTGTCAGAACCGGAGATCTTGGCGGCCATTTGATGAGAAGATTATCCTGACCATTCCACTGATTTCTATAATTATTTTTTAGCCATTTTCTTACTGCATTGTGGATTCTGATTTGGTCACGAAATTATAAATATGAAATATTATTTTACGAAATTTGGTATAAAACCATTTGAGGGAATACTGAATCGAATAGTGATTTCAAATTTTTCGTCAAGAAATAATATATTCTGATGCAAAGAAATAATCAAAGCTGACAGACATGAATTCCCAGTTTTTTTTCTTTTTCCTATTTTCCTTTTTTTTCACTATGATTACTGTATATTTTGATATAATATCTCAATAATGTGAAAGTTTTGTTCACCATCTGTCATTTAAACTATGTGAACAGTGTATAATGATTCATGAATTACCTAATACTAGTCTTGATCATTCATGCTATTCCTACTTGAAAAATTATAAACTTTATACACGTAATATTGGAAACAAATGTAATGCAATAGCTGCAATAAATGAAATAAATAAATAAATGAATGATGTAAGAAATATATACAAGGTGAGTCAAGAATGTTTACCGAGCTTTCGGGAGGTTAGTACCAATGTCCCAAAATTTATATTAAGAAAGATGTATCCTCCCAAAGTTGATCAAATTAAAATAATTTTTCCGCATAACGTCAGAACGGTAAAATCCACCAGATTGATATTTCCTGCAAAAATGTATGTTGATAAGATTTACAAATTTAACGAAATTAACAATAACTTCAGGGATGCACTTAAATTTTTTTCAGTTTCCTAATTTCTTAAAATTAGCACTATAGTAAATTTTCAAAGTGCATTCCTCCTTGTTCAAGACACATATTTAATATTTATTTATGCAACAAGTGCAAAAAGTGAATGCATTCGACGTGAAATTGTCCGACGAGGCCGTTAGGCCGAGTTGGACAACACGTCGAGTGCAATAAACAATTTTTGCAGGAGTTGCATACAACATTTTTTCTACGTTCATGCAAAAAGCAAAAAATGATTTATTGAGGTGCGGCACTAGGTACAATTCTGTTAATTGTCAGAATTAATTTTTGACTGACGTTTCTATAACCACAGTTGCATTATAGAAAATGTTTGTCATGATGACAGCACGTTGAAGCAGAATGACAGATGAGTGCAATAAAAACTTTATTGCACTAAGTGCAATAAAGAACTTCTTTTTCCACTAAATATAGTTCAATTAAGTTCTGTTTTTTGCATAAATGTAGAAAAATTTAATTTATGTTCTTATTTGTAATCCAATCGCAAATAAATTCATTTTGTTAGATTCGTGAAAATATCCCTTTTTTCGGAAAGTGCTTGTCAAAAAATGGTCGCCATAATATATGAAAAATGATAGTAAGACACGAAAATGTAATTTTGCCAAATTGTCTTATTCATATACAGTGTGTCCCACTTACCATGCTCACCATGGGTATCTTTTTATCAGTGAGAGATACGAGGTCGGTTAAATGACACCAAATGTGGAGTTTGTCAAGGCCAACGGTAATGTGGAAAAATATTTCGATAAAATCTATTCGTTTTGTTTTATACGCAAAAAACAGATTTTGATCATTTTCATGTCTCCTCTGTATCTTCTTTATTTATGGAAATATTCGAATAGGAATTTCACATTCTCATGGCAGTTTTTCAAAGTGATTTCGAAAAATATATGAAATTCATACCAACTCTTCTAGAATTTGAGATATCAGCACCAACTTTAGTTTTTCAAATGTAGGTCATAGCTCACTATGACTTAGTTACAAATAACTTTTTTTTCTCTTACAGATGATATGTTGCAGTAATAGTTTTGTGTTGATAACAACGGAGTTATCGTCATTTATACATAAACAAAAAATTATTTGGAAGCCGCCATCTTGAATTGATAAATTCTAACAAAAAAATCATATCCGACCTCAAAAACCCCCACTTACCAATTTTGAATGGAATCGGACCAAATCTTGTCCGCCATCTTGGAGCAGCCATTTTTTTAATTTCAACAAAAATTTCATAATGTATTGTCACCGAAATTATGAGCACCTGCCAAATTTCAAGTTAATCGGAGTTATGGAATTTTTGTTGAAATTGAAAAAAATGGCTGCTCCAAGATGGCGGACAAGCTTTGGTCCGATTTCATTCAAAATTGGTGAGTGGGGGTTTTTGAGGTCGGAGATCACGATTTTTTTGTTGTAATTCATAAATTCAAGATGGCTGCCTCCAAATAATTTTTTGTTTTTGTTCAAATGACGATAATCCGTTGTTATCAACACAAAACTATTACTGCGACATATCATCTGTAAGAGAAAAAAAAGTTATTTTTAACTAAGTCATAGTGAGCTATGACCTACATTTGAAAATCTAAAGTTGGTGCTGATATCTCAAATTCTAGAAGAGTTGGTATAAATTTCATATTTTTTTCGAAATCACTCTGAAAAACTGCCATGAGAATGTGAAATTCCTATTTGAATATTTTCATAAATAAAGAAGTTATGGAGGAGACATGAAAATGATTAAAATCTGTTTTTTGCGTATAAAACAAAAACGAATAGATTTTATCAAAATATTTTTTCACATTATAGTTGGCCTTGACAAACTCCACATTTGGTGTCATTTAACCCACCTCGTATCTCACCGTTAAAAAGATACCCATGGTGAGCATGGTAAGTGGGACACACTGTATATGATATATGAAAACTTCGGGATTGTAATTTTCTGATATCACCCAGGTCCTTAGATTAGTTTACTTCCGATCATGGCCACCTGGATGTAATTTCGAAAGTGACTCCGAAAAAATTAAGTAGGCATAAAAACTTTCGAAAATGTCACATTGTGATCTAGAATTGTCTCGGAAATCCAAAAATGTTTGAAAATTCAGAACTGGAGCCATTTTCGGTGAAACCGGAAGTGACCGGGAAGTGAAAAATATGTGAAAACTCTCCTCTTCAATACCATTTATCTATACCAAATCCCATTTTGATACACCTAATGGTCTAGAAGTTATGACTTGTGTTACAGGGTTGGCATGAATTAATTCATATGAATTAAATCAATGATTTAATTCGTGAATTGATTCCATTGACTTTGTTTGAAAAAGTCATGAATTCATTAAAATTTTTAAAAATGAGACAAATTGCCCTATTGCCTTTGATTTTAACTAGTTTAAACTGAAAAATTCGATCATACTTTGGCAAGACTTTGTTATTTCAAGCATGACAGAGATTTTTACTAACAGATATATGTATACAGTATCAAGTATCATCCATAAAGTCTATAACATATGAGAACAGCTTTATTATCACAGCATCGATTTTTTTTCTCTCGGCGATCCATTATGCATATCCGATAACTTGAAAATCGATTTTGACACATGTCACGTGATCACTGGTATGGCGACGAAAAGTGGGGTTAGATAACAAAATATCTATAAACATATTCCACATTCAGTTTAGAGCAATTTTTGGAGGAGAATTGGAAATAGCTATATTTTTTCAAATATTCTTCAATTTTGTTACAATTCTCTTTTTTTTTCTGACAGCAGTGATGTTGATGATGTACAAGTTGAATAGAATTCAATTTCATGCTCACATATGGAGTTTCCAGCTATTATTTGAGAAAACTGCAAATAGCTATTTTTATTTTTTTTAAATAACTTCATCTTCTCATCTAACCCCACTTTTTGCTATCGTAATTTTTTGAATTTACCGCCATACCAGTGATTAAGTGACATGTGTCAAAATCGACTTTTAAGTAGTCAGACATGCATAATAGATCCCCGAGAAACATTTTTTTGATATTCTACTAATAAACTGTTTCTCCATGTGTTATGAACTTTGTGGATAATACTGGATCTATTATTTTGTATTCTATCATCACTTAATTTTGTTTTGAAAAAATGACATGTTATATCATGATGTTATTGTACAGGGTGGCCAACTAAGACTCCAGAGTTAGATTTCTCTGTTGTCTTGAGAGATACAAAAAAATTCATGAATCAAAATTGAAGTAATAACCGAGCTTCACATTTCAAAATTTCTTTGAAATACACAGGGTGTTCCGTAAGGTCACAGCACATCAAAGCTATGTTTTTTTCATTGGAACACCCTATATTTTATTTCATTTTTGAATTCTACCTGAAGATCTGATTTCAACGACCCATCATACTTAGGGTCTAGCAGTGAAAGTTACTGACATATAGGGTGTGCAAAATCGAGATTTTCCAAGTTCACGATTTTTTTCTGTCGAAACTGTTCATTATTCGTCAAAACGGTTTACATGTCCCTATCTCTACTTTTCACTCACTATCAATTGGTGTTCAATTGAAATTGATACAAGGTGGCCAAAAATCTAAATTTATAATTTGTTTCAATTAAATGTCTCTGGATTCTTAGTTGGCCACCCTGTACAAGATTTCTGAAGGCAATAAAGACATGTTTTTATTGTTTCTTTTTTTCTATTTCACTTTGGGTAAATGAAATTTGTTTTTTTCAAATGAATTAATTCAAAAAAGTCTGACTTAATTCAAAAAGTCGGACTTTGATGACTTTTTTATAAAAGTCATGACTTATCCCAACCCTGCTTGTGTAATAGATTCGTTGACACCCGGTATACGCAGTAGGTCCTGGTTTTTGTAGAAAAATTATATGTTTCATCCAAAAGAAACTTTTTTTGACCTCCATACAAAAAAAAAAATTCGTCGAAATCGGTGAATTGATACAAATATTGAGGGGTCCCGCTTTTCCGGTGGCTCACCCTGTATGATTGTGATTGTGAATGTCGTTGGTTTCGACAGCAACACGTCAACCAAGACACGAACTGGGACGTGCCCAGCAGCCCGGAGCCGCCCATCAAGATGGACGGCACTGGCGGCCCGCCCCCTTGGAAGCCGAACGTCAACAATGGCACCGAACTGTGGGAGGCCAATCTCAGGTAATTTGATTTTTTCAGTCTCATTTTTCACTTGTGGGAGTTTTTTTTTGTTGGACTATTCCACTCTCGATCTCGAGAACCAATCAGAATAGACCATTTTCACGGTTTCTTCTTTATTCTAGAGATATTTTTTGTTTATTAAATTTTATCGGACTTGCTCTACCAATTCAGAAGCCGAATTGACCCACACGTGACCAACTAACCTCGTTTATCAGCGATACAATTTTGACATCGTGTCTGGTCAAGATTGTTTTGGATTCAAATCTGAGACAATAACCTAAGTTCCTACTTTATTTTATTTACTTATAATTTGCGTTAGTGAGACATTTTGTCCGAAAGGCGAGACAATTTTATTCTGGCTGGACGTTTCATGTGTAATTTAAAAAGTTTGCATATTTGTTGACGGTCTGACACAACAATACTAGAATTCAAATTCCTTTTCAAAGTAATCTTCTTCAATTACTCAAGTTATTGTGACTGTTATAATTACCAGATGATGTAGCGCAACTGATAGGGTTGTTGCGCGAATATACGAAGTCGATGGTTCGAGCCCTCGGCGACGATATCTTTTTTGTTTTAATTATTTCATGTCACATAAATTCAATTCATTTTGTTTCAATTGGATAGCAATTGTATACACTCTCTTCAGAGCAACCATCTCCAAGATAATGGAAAATTACTGTTTATCAAAATTGTACATTCCACTTTGTGAATAACTATAAGTAGGTAGTTAATTTCTGAAAAAGTGAATTCTGTATTTCATTACTATCATCATGTTCTTCTTGGCAGTTTGATTTGTAATATATTTAAATTATGTTTCCTATTTCTTATACAGGGTGTTTCATTGGGAAAGGTAAATAATTCAACTGTGGATAGGGGTCAGTGGGGTGATTTCAAAAAACCCATGGTTGATGGGTCTTCGACTTCTTATAACCGAGATACAGGATGTTTCATCGATTTTGTCCATGTCTTCATTGTCTCATAACTTTCCAATCAACCTGTATATATTTTTAAAAATTGGTACACTTGCTCAATCTATCCTGTGGAATTGATTGAGGCAACAACAAAAGATAAAATCCAGGTCCGGCTTCACTTAAAATTCACAAATTCATTCTGTCAGAAAACAACACCCTATACATTCGAATTTCTCATTTTTTTTGCCATATCTGGAAAGAACATAAAAATTTCTATTCAGCGATGTGCTTTTTATTCGTGCACAGACGATTTTAACTATTTATATTATGTGCTCAAAATATTATATACGATCCGGCGTTGCCGCTTCTACTCGAAAGTAGCAGCAACTTCGATTTTTCAAATGGGACACCCTGTATTTCATTACATTCTTGGATTCTTGCTGAACAGCAGAATTCATCGATTCAAAACATTCAAGGTCTAGCGGGACTGATAACTGAGATATAGGATGTGGAAAATCGAGATGTGTCAACTTTAGAAATGTTTTGTATTGAAACTATTTAGTATTGCATGGTCAAAACGGATTCAATGTCCCTATCTCAACTTTCCATTCGATATTCAAATGAAACAGATACAGGGTGGTGCAGAAATCTGAATTATGAAACATCCTGTATTTGTTTCGATTAAATGTCAATAGATACAAAGTTGAGATAGGGACATAAAAGCCGTTTTGATCAAAAAATTAATATTTTCGCAAAATCATTCCAAAGTTGAGACATCTCGATTTTTCCCACTCTAAATATCTCAGTTATTAGTCCCACTAGACCCCGAACTTTGTGAATCGATTATATCAGCTCTTCAGGAAGCATCCAGGGTGTCCCATTTGGAAAATCAAAGTTACTGCTACTTTCGAGTAGAAGCGGCAACGCTGGATCATTTCAAATATTTCAGTAGTGTAGATTATGTTAATAATTATACATACCATCGAAATTTCAGATTTATCCGTTGCCTGGTTTGCCAGAAACATCTAATTAACGCTTATCGTGGAAAGCCCTGTATAGTTTTGATGACGGACCTGCAACTAAGTCTGGAACAAAGAACGATATGAAATACTCCTTCTGAATGTAATACTCACGTATGATGAATAGGAAGTAATAAAATAAATAAATCTCGTCTGATTCCAATTTTGTACCCCAAAATGAGCAAAAATAATATTTTGAGTACATAATATGAATAGTTAAAATCGTCTGTGCACGAATAAAAAGCACATCGCTGAATAGAAATTTTGATGTTCTTTTCAGATATGGCAAAAAAAATGAGAAATTCGAATGTATAGGGTGTTGTTTTCTGACAGAAAGAATTTGTGAATTTTAAGTGGAGCCGGACCTGGATTTTATCTTTTGTTGTTGCCTCAATCAATTCCACAGGATAGATTGAGCAAGTGTACCAATTTTTAAAAATATATACAGGTTGATTGGAAAGTTATGAGACAATGAAGATATGGACAAAATTGATGAAACATCCTGTATCTCGGTTATAAGAAGTCGAAGACCCATCAACCATGGGTTTTTTGAAATCACCCCAGTGACCCCTATCCACAGTTGAATTATTTACCTTTCCCAATGAAACACCCTGTATATATACAATGTGACCCACTTCTAATGGAAACACCCCTGTATCTTACGTAATCGTTGGGTAAGGATCCTGAAATTTTCTGAAGCGAGAGATATACCAGAGATGCACTCTATGACCAAGTGGGGTCATCTTCACTGTTATACACTGCTCGCAAACAGCCATGGAACCACCCCAATTTCCGGAAAATGATATTAGGAGTCAAAATGGGTTGAAAATCACTTCGGATTCGGAATCAGGACGCCCAATTCTCTAACTATTTATATTTTTCCTGGAAAATTTTCAGTTCTGAAAAATTGAATTTTGTTGCACTTTTTACGGAAGCACCCCCGTATCTTACGTAATTGACTTTATCTTTGTGCTTTCCCTTCCTCCTGCAAATTTCAGAACCATACATCAATAATTACGTGAGATACGGGGGTGCTTCCGTAAAAAGTGCAACAAAATTTAATTTTTCAGGACTGAAAATTTTCCAGAGGAAAAAATGAATAGTTAGTGAATTGGGCGTCCTGATTCCGAATCCGAAGTGATTTTCAACCTATTTTGATTCCTAATATCATTTTCCGGAAAATGGGGTGGTCCCATGGCTGTTGGCGAGCAGTGTATAACACTGAAGATGACCCTACTTGGCCATAGAGTGCATTTTTGGTATATCTCTCGCTCCAGCAAATTTCAGGACCATAACCCAAAGATTACGTAAGATACAGGGGTGTTTCCATTAAAAATCGGTCACACTGTATGTTGTCTAATTCAATCATGAAATACTCATACGAATACAACTCATACAACTCGTGATACTATTTTTCCTGGAAATATTCGTCGATTGACATACTCCAGCTTGCTGCTCTAATTTCGCTCGCCTACGGCTCGTAGTTTTGATAACAATGTAATTCACAAAATTACTTGGCAACAAGCTGTGGTAACAATCACCGAATATTTCCGGCCAAATATTATCACTTCTGGTATTATATATGAGTGAACTCGACATCTGTCTCACTGAGGATTTTGTTGCCTGGAAATATAACAACAACAAAAATACTCTGTCCGTTTTTCAAGAAGTTCCTGAAGTAAATAATTATGAATTTCGAGTTTACTTCTACCCAAAAAAATGTAAGACAATTTAAGGAATACACTATTGTTGATGTTCTTCCAATTTCTCCATTGGAAGACTCCAAATTGCGACATATTCACAGATTATATACTCTTCTCTGTGGCGGGAAAAAATTTGGCATTTCATCTCTGTTGGCAGATTATAAAATGTCACTTCACTGTTGATGGCCTTTGTTGTGCTATAGTTCCGAAAAATGAGTCAATGATAGCGTCTCCGAGAAAGAACTGCAAGTCCTTTTATCTTTCATTCGACTTCGCGGTTACGTATATTACTAAACAACCACTAAATTCGCAATTTTTTGAAATCAAATCACATCACAGAATTAGACTGACTGACAGAAGTGACATCAGATATTTGATTACTTCAAAAGAATGATAGAGATGCCTACAACTCAGGTGTCCCTACTGTTAAAAACTTGAGAAATATTCAGATTTCAAAATAATGTAATAACTTCTCAATATCGATTCGTCCTTTCTTCAGTCACAGAAAAAAATAGTGTATTTTACACGGGAAAAATATTAGATTTTGCTCACGGTTTTTTGTCTGGAGCTAAAATCTACTTCTTTTTTCCCTTGTATAATGAATAACTATTTCTTACAACACAAGATTGACGAAAATAAACAAGTGATACAAATAGTTTCACGAATGCCATTGTGTATCAAAACTTTCAAGCCAAAGAGCAAGTCAAATTACATTCAGTTGTCCATATCACGATTTTGGGACACCTGATTTTATATACATGGTGGCATTGAAATAAGTGCAAATATTTCAAACTATGAGAAAGCTCGAAGTGTACTATCGATGGGACTAATAAAAAAATCAGGGATCATGATAAAATTCGAGTTTGGCTCCCTTCATTTTTACCCAAAGTACTACACTGTAACAAATCTGACGTCACCTCTGTTCAAATTTCCATGCGGTAGGCACAATCACGTGGAGTTCAATCATTTAAATTGTTTCAAAGTGGCGTACTTGATTGTTTTCTCGTATTTCGTTCAATTTTTGGGATGAAATTTCTCGTTAATTAGAAGAATTAGAATGAATTTGATATCATGGGAAAATTCCTTAGACTGTATCATATTGATGTGCTGAATATGTGCACTTATTTCAAAAACACCTTGTATTTACGTTATCAATTAAAGGATTTATCAAGTGATTCAAATAACAGATTTGAACTGACTGATTCAAAAAACGTATTTGTGAACTGAAAAGTGATTTAATTTGAGAAGTTTGAAATATCTGAAAAGTTGGAAATTCTGAAGATATTGAATCTCTTGAAAAATTGAAAAAATCAATAGCCTTAGGAATTGAGAAAGTTGATATTGTCTTTAAAAGTTGAAGGACCTCAGCGAGTTGAATAACTTGAAAAAGTTGTTGAACTTAGGACTAGGTATTGAAAAACTTGAAAACTTTCATGGAATTTAAAAAAATTCAAATGAAGTTGAAGAAATTTTAGGATCAGATCAGTTCAAATATTTGAAAAATTTTGAGTATTAAAAAAGTTGGTACAGATAAAAAAGTGAAAAAATTAAGTAGTCCTGAGAATTGATAGAGTTGAAGAAGTTGAAGTCTGGAAAAGTTGAAAATCTTTGAATATATGAAAAGGTTGAAGAAGCAGGAACAATTCGCAGCAATAAAAAGGGCCGAGAATAAAATATTGTGAGAAATGAAAGTTGGATAGAGTTGAAAAAAATGAAATTGAAGGAATTTAAAAAGTCGAAAATTTGGAAAATGAAGTTTGGATAATTAAAAAATGTTTTATCGATAAAAAAGTAGAAAAATTGAAGCTGTGAGGCAGTTGAAGAATCATTGAAAAAGTTGAAAAAGTGGAGACATTTGAAAATGTTTATGAAATTGAACTAAACTGCTCCACATTTGAAGTGAGACAAGCGAATATTTTGTTTGTTTTCGAACCGTCATAACTTTGGACGGGATCAACCGATTTTCGATTTTTTTTGGGATTCGAATTGCTCAGTCAATTGGGTATAACATAATTTTCTCACGTTCCTCCACCTTTTCAGAATCATGACCTACAGGATGTTATCTGAAAGTGTGATAATTTTCGAAAAGTTTGAGGTCACCCCGTTAGTAGGATAATTTTTGAAATTTTTTTCTGACTGCAAAAACATGAAGCATGTGTTTTCTTGAAATGGTTTCGAATTCATCAAGATCCATACAGGATGTTTTGAGATATGCAATTTTGAACAACATATGGCCTCTCGAATTGTTTGAATAACTCTAATTCATTGGTTAACCCCTCGGTATAATCTCATGTTGTCTGGGAAGTAATCAGAAGTTGTCATACTTTTGATTATTGTAATAAAATATGCTACGACTAGCTAAAGAACAATCACAAATGGTTCTCAGAATGAGAGATTTTGGATCAAATGTTGAAGACCATGGACAGTATTTCTCCACATCAAGAGCTTCAATATACACCATGCCGAGAAGAGTTAGGGCTCTCGTAGCAGCCAAGGGTGGTGTAACAAAATATTGATAAGTGACATCAAAACTTCCGTTGTTGATTCCTCTTTATTGAAAAATATTGTGGTACATATGATCTGTATTCTCTTCGTGGTATGTTCATCAATTCTCATTATTTTTATCCTCTGAAAAATACATCCTGATGAGCTTTATCGAGCTCTGACTATTGTCCCAGTCACAATTATGCAGATTTATGTAATATTCTACAAAATATTGTATTTATAGCCAGAAACATTCAATGTCGTTGTTGTTTTGGAATGATGATGATGATGATGAAAAATCTAACATTTCTAAAAGAAACAAAATTCCACTATACTACTGGAGCAACAATAAAAAACAAAATTTTATTCATGAAATAATCACTCCACATTTATTTAATTCCTAACTACGAACTAACAGTTTGTCTTGGCATGAGTATGTCGCGAATATCGCTATATAAAGCAGTTTCACAGAAGCTGAGATTTTTCTTTCTCGTCAAGAAGTAGGTACTTTACACCGCAGCAGCTATTGACTCATCACAAAGCTCAAATAAGACCATCTCTCGATAGAGTACTGTTCGCATGTTTGGAAATATCATGCCCTTATTCAGTCAGAAGTTAAACATCTGTTACAGTGATTTTTTTGTAGCACATCGTCACTTTGGAATCCATCTTCTGTGGATACCTTCCCAGAAAATTACAATTTGAAGTAATTCAAGAGAAGGATTCACAATTTTTTGTCATCCAGTACTCGCAGTGCCTCTGTCGCATCATAGGTCCATCCTTTTGGGAACACTCCACCATAAAAACAATACCCAGACAACATGAGACTATACCGAGGGGTTAACCAATGAATTAGAGTTATTCAAACAATTCGAGAGGCCATATGTTGTTCAAAATTGCATATCTCAAAACATCCTGTATGGATCTTGATGAATTCGAAACCATTTCAAGAAAACACATCAGGCTTCATGTTTTTGCAGCAAAAAAATTCCAAAAATTATCCTACTAACGGGGTGACCTCAAACTTTTCGAAAATTATCACACTTTCAGATATCATCCTGTAGGTCATGATTCTGAAAAGGTGGAGGAACGTGAGAAAATTATGTTATACCCAATTGACTGAGCAATTCGAATCCCAAAAAAAATCGAAAATCGGTTGATCCCGTCCAAAGTTATGACGGTTCGAAAACAAACAAAATATTCGCTTGTCTCACTTCAAATGTGGAGCAGTTTATTTAGTTGACAATGTTGAAATAAGTGTATGTAATTGAAAAAAATTGAGATAGTTGAAATAAATAATAGAGAAAATGAAGATATTGAAAATTTTGGACAATGGAAACTTGAAATCATTGAAGAAGTTGTCATCGATAAAAAAGTGAAAAATTTTCAGCTGTGAGCATTGAAAAAGCTGGAAAATTTTGAAAAGTCAATGAACCTGAAAACGTTGAAAATACCCGATCGATTCTCTTAGGAACGGCGGCCAACCGCCTCCCGCCCCCCAACAAAAGACCCCCTGGGGCCACACCCCGTCGACCAACATCGGCGGCACGTGGGGCGAGGACGACGACCCCGCCGACAGCTCGAACGTGTGGACGGGCGTGCCGCCCTCGGCCGGGGGCGGCAACCAACCGCCCCAATGGGGCGGCGGCGGCCAGGGACAGGGCCAGGGGCAGGCGAACAACGGCGCCATGTGGGGAGGTGAGCGAACATTTTTTGTTTTTTAACGTGTTATTAATTCCGAATATTTATGTATTTGTTTATTTATTAATTTACTATCTGACCCGACAAACGTTGTTTTGTCATAAACATTATTTCTAGAATTTTTTTTTTTGCTAAATATTCACGATTAAACTTTAATTATTTATTTCTACCTACTTCTTTTTAGTTTGGCTATCCATTAAAGCGGGATTCTTCATTTTTTCAAACTACTTTTTATTTTCTACTAAGTTTGGCAATCTACAGTGTGTCCCACTTACCATGCTCACCATGGGTATCTTTTTAACGGTGAGAGATACGAGGTCGGTTAAATGACACCAAATGTGGAGTTTGTCAAGGCCAACTATAATGTGAAAAAATATTTTGATAAAATCTATTCGTTTTTGTTTTACACGCAAAAAAAAGATTTTGATCATTTTCATATCTCCTCCGTAACTTCTTTATTTATGAAAATATTCAAATAGGAATTTCACATTCTCGTGGCAGTATTTCAAAGTGATTTCGAACAAAATATGAAATTTATACCAACTCTTCTAGAATTTGAGATATCAGCACCAACTTGAGTTTTTCAAATGTAGGTCATAGCTCACTATGACTTAGTTACAAATAACTTTTTTTCCTCTTTCAGATGATATGTCGCAGTAATAGTTTTGTGTTGATAACAACGGAGTTATCGTCATTTATACAAAAACAAAAAATTATTTGGAAGCCGCCATCTTGAATTTATAAATTTCAACAAAAAATTATGATCTCCGACCTAAAAAACCCCTACCTACCAATTTTGAATGGAATCGGACCAAAACTTGTCCGCCATCTTGAAGCAGCCATTTTTTCAAATTTCAACAAAAATTCCATAATGTATTGTCACCGAAATTATGAACACCTGCCAAATTTCAAATTAATCAAAGTTATGGAATTTTAGTTGAAATTAAAAAAAATGGCTGCTCCAAGATGACGGACAAGATTTGGTCCGATTCCATTCAAAATTGGTAAGTGTGGGTTTTTGAGGTCGGAGATCATGATATTTTTGTGAAAATTCATAAATTCAAGATGGCGGCTTCCAAATAATTTTTTGTTTTTGTATAAATGACGATAACTCCGTTGTTATCAACACAAAACTATTACTGCGACATATCATCTGGAAAGAAAAAAAAGTTATATTTAACTAAGTCATAGTGAGCTATGACCTACATTTGAAAAACTAAAGTTGGTAATGATATCTCAAATTCTAGAAGAGTTGGTATAAATTTCATAATTTATTCGAAATCATTTTGAAAAACTGCCATGAGAATGTGAAATTCCTATTTGAATATTTTCATAAATAAAGAAGTTACGGAGGAGACATGAAAATGATCAAAATCTGTTTTTTGCGTATAAAACATTTTATCAAAATATTTTTTCACATTATAGTTGGCCTTGACAAACTCCACATTTGGTGTCATTTAACCGACCTCGTATCTCTCACCGTTAAAAAGATACCCATGGTGAGCATGGTAGTTTAGTTTAGTTTAGTTTAGTTTATTTATTGGTAAAGTATAACACATAGTGCTTTTACAGGTCAATAGGGTATATAAAGTATAGAACTTGTTTGAATGATAATAATATAGTAAGAAAATACTTGAAAATTAAAAAGTGGATTTAACGACACACATTTTACATATTAAAATTGGTTTTACATATTAAAATAGGTGTTACATATTAAAATAGGTCTTACATATAAAACTAAAATGTCCTTAAGTCACTCTCAAGGTACTCCTCGAGGGAATAGAAGGCGTTTCTTAGGAGATAGTTTTTGACTCTAGATTTGAAGCTATTTAGATTTAGCTGCTTAACATCTGTCGGTAGAGCATTGAAAAATTTGATGCCATAATAATCGGTTCCCCTTCTAGTACGTTGCAGCCTGTGGTAGCCGGGCACCAGATTCCCTCCCCCCCTAGTAGAATATGAATGAAAATCACTGTGTGTTCTGAAGTTTTCCCGATTTTGTTTCACATATAATAGACAGTGAAAAATGAAAACGCACGGGAGGGTGAGCAGCCTCAGCCTAACATAGCCATCTCTACAGCATTCGCGGTATTTGATACCTGCAATAATTCTAACACAACGTCGCTGTAACTTGAAAATTTGAGCAGAGTTTGGGGAGTGACCCCAGTTCAAAATTGGCTAAGTCATGGTAGAGCTAAAGTAAGCATGATATGTCGTCAATAATGTGCTCATAGAGACACTTCTTGACAGACTCCTTATCAAGAAGGTGATTCTAGACAGTTTGGAGCTGAGCTGAGTGATATGTGTTTCCCAGGACAGTCCAGGATCTAGGTGAACCCCCAGAAACTTCACAGATGCATCACTTTCTAAGTTCGGTGGAGAAGTTTGTAATGTGAAATTAATGAATTGAGTTTTACTGTTATTGAGGCTAAGCCTATTGGCTAGAAACCAGTTCTCAATTCGGACCTGACTGCTTTGAGTCCACTGCAGAATTGGATCAGAGGGATGGTAACGTAACAATGATGTGGTATCATCAGCAAATAGGATTATCAGTAAATTCATTAGATTATTGATATTTGGTAGGTCATTGATATATACAAGGAACAACAGGGGACCCAACACTGAGCCCTGGGGGACACCATGCTGAATCCCTCTTATTCCTGAGGGTTGATTTTTAAAAAGAACATATTGTTCCCTTTCCTCAAGATAGGACTGGATAAGGGATACGCTGCTCATATCGAAGTTGTAGTAGAATAACTTTTTATAAAGAATTTCAAAGGATATGCAGTCGAATGCCTTAGTCAGGTCCAGGAAAGAGGCATATGTATTGAGCTTGTTCTCAAAACCCTCTGAAACAAATTCAGTTAGTCTGTTAATAGCTAAGGTAGTGCTTCTTCTGTTACGAAAGCCGAATTGGTTTGTGGTAAAGATGTTGTTGGCCTCAAAATAGTTGTTCATTTGGTCTTTCAATATGGATTCATAAATTTTTGAGATTATTGGTAATAAGGATATTGGCCTGTAGTTTGTTTGATCTTCGGGATCCCCATTATTTTTGAAAATAGGTATAACTTTTGCTAATTTGAGAACAGAGGGAAATTTGCTAGTGCGAATACAGTGATTGAACAAGTCGGTCAGTGGTTTGCTTATAATGTCTTTAAGATGTTTAATGATTTTAGTATTAATGTCATAGCAGTCCTTGCTACTGCTATTTTTAAGGTTAGATATCTTATCTGAGATATCTTTTTGTGTTACTGAGTGAAATTTGAAGCAAGCTCCAGTGTATGAATCTGTTAGGTAGTCATTGTATGAGTTGTTTGTGGCGGGAAGGTTATTAATTATCTCATCTGCTATTGACACAAAGAAGTCGTTAAAGATCTGAGCGTTTAGGTGGTTGGCTTGAGGGGCCGAAATAACGTTCTTGTGGGATTTTATGATACTCCACATAGCCGTCTGCTTATTTGTTGCATTATTAATGAAATTATCGTGTGCTGCTTTCTTTGTATTAATTAGCTCTAGCCTATATTGTTTTTTGTAATCAGAAACCATTTTTTTTGGTACCAGTATTGGATTCTGCTTGTTTAGGAGGCTTAGTGTTTGTAATCTGCCCCTCATGTCCCTGAGGTTCTCATTGAACCAATTGATTTTAGGAGCTTGTTGATTTTTTCTGACAATTTTAGATTTCAGTGGCATGCTTATGTCCATAGCATTGGTCAGAATTTTGAAAAATGTGCAGAGCTGGTCTTCTGCATTTTCATTACTTTCTGTTATAGTATTCCAATTAAACTGTTGCAATAGATTATATAGGGAAGAAAGACCTCCGTCTGTAATTGGCCTGCAAGTAATTCTCTCACAAGGGTTGGAGGACAGATTTATTGGGGTATTGAAAATTACTCCCGAGTGATCAGAGATACCCTCTAGAGCTAGAGGAGTAAGATCCAGACAGGACCTGTTGAAGTTTACATAAATGTTATCTAGGGTAGCTTCACCCCTCGTTCGGAAGTTTACTGTTGGGAACAGATCGTAGGAGCTGAAAAAAAAATTGAGGTAATCAGCCTCCTTGCAGTTGCGGAGTTCAAAGTGCACATTAAAGTCACCTGTGACTATGATGTTACCTGTATTATCAATTTTTTCCAGAACCTGAGACAAAATATCCAAATATGCATCAAGTTCTCCTTTAGGAGATCTGTATACTGTTAGTATTTGAGTGTGTATAGAGGGAACATGGATTCCAGCTACCTCACACTGCAACTCTCTTGAAATTTTTGAGAAATTTAGCTCTTGGTATTCTAAGTGTTCCCTGAGATAAATACCCACACCCCCATGTATTTTATCAGATCTACAAAAGCTAGTAGTGGCTATAAAGCCTTTTATTTTTAGTTGTAAAAACTCATCGGACTGGAGCCAATGCTCATTTGTGCAAAAGCAATCAGCCTCTGTTTCCTCCAGAAGTACCTCTAAGTCAGTGATTTTGTCCCTAATACCCTGAACATTTGCATATACTATTTTAAAATTTTTGTTTCTATTTAAACCCTTGCAAATTTGCTTCTTCACTGGTGAGCAGATGGTCTTCGCAGGCGTTGTAGATTCAGAAAATGGTTTACAGTGACCCCATTAGGCCATAGGTTTGGGTCAAGAATATTATCTTTGAGATCTTGTGGTACCCCAAGTTTGAATGAACTGACCTGTTTACTGGTAGTTCGCATTTTTTCACAGGTGATGGTGTTTTCATCATAGGATTTGGATTTGAGGTATGCAAGAATGTCTTTTCCTTCAGATTTCTTTGATAGTCCAGTAACAAATATCCAGTGGTATTTCTGAGCTATTTCTAATACGGTTGTCTGCTCGCTAGTACCCCTGATTGGAGCTGGTCGTTTAGTTGCTTCTGGGATTTCGCCACGGGTACGTTTTCTCCAATTTTTGTCCTTCACTAGTTGCCAATCTCCTTCATCATCATTGTTAGAATTTGGTGGAGATTTGTTCGATTCTTTGTTTTCCATTTCATTGGGGTGTTCACCAACTCCAGTGTTAGTGTTTTCGGATTCGGGTATATCAGCCGTATTAATAGTAATTTCTTTGTTTTGTTTGTTTATGCTTTCGGTCTGTAGAGTAGGGATATTATCATTGTCAACCTGTGACTGTGGAGTTGGCTGATTATCTTCTTCTTGTTGACGTGACTGACGTGTGGTGTAAAAGCGTTTTTTAATTGAGTTGTCAGAGTGGCCTTGGACACTTTGACTTTGCAACCGGTCCGTACTAGAACTCGTCCTCGGATTGTTCGTGGCAAGTTCCTTGTTCGGTACAGGCAAATTTTGCTCTGTGGATACTTTCTTGTTCTGTCGAAACTCATGGTTGTTTGAATTATTAAAGTAGTTACCCATACCCAAAACAGCTGAGTGATGCGTTGCCAGTGTTGCCACAGTTGCCCTATTGACTGATGGTTCAGCTGTGGAAATGGTCAATTTTTCCTATTTTTCTTCCATCAGCCTAACAGTTTTTTGCAGAATAAGTGGGACACACTGTATAAAAACGTGTTCCATTCGTTTTTCACTACTACTATTCATTACAATCGATTATGCTGATACCTGGCACACGTTGTTTTGCCATATGAATTTATTTCTAGGAAATATATTTTTAGTTAAATATACAGGGTGTCCCACTAAGGTCGGCGAGGTACGATATTATGGAAACAAAAACTCGAAGACAGATGAAGCTATCGAATCGCGGTTTGCGCCAGAATGTAGGCATTTCCATGCTCTTCGAGACCACTGATGCAAACATGTATCATTTTTATCGTGAAAATCCAGAAAAATCGAATAGTCGGTAAACGGCGCCTTCTATGAGACGCGGTATGAACTAGCGACCGAAAACGAAGTCGGATTTTGAATAAGCGTGAAATTATCTTCAATACGAGCCCGAGTTGATTGAATTTGGATTAGGGGTATGGAAGAGACAGCAATTTGAAAAATATTTTGTTCACAAGTTTCCCCCACCATTATTATTAATGATACGAAAAAAAGTCTGAGGCACAACAAAACGATAAATTGATAATCTTATCGTTTCCGTTATCAAAAAAATCACCTTACACAGTGATTTTCTGAGATAATTCATTCGAATTTCTCATTGTATCATAGTGCTTTCGCCCCCTAGCGGTCATTTTACAAACTTGAAAATATTTTGAATCAATTTGTCATTGCCGATTTTGTCAATAGATTTTTGTCCCGTAGCTGTAAGGTTAATGGTTTCCATAATATCGTACCTCGCCGACCCTAGTGGGACACCCTGTATATCAAAACACTTTTATTATTTTGTTTTCTACTTCCTTTAGTTTCACTATCCATAAAACTGTGTTTCTATTTCAAACTACTATTTTTATTTTATTCTTCTTTTTAGTTCAACAATCTATCTCGTTTTTAAAACTATATTATTCATTTTCTACTTCTATTCAGTTTGGCTATCCATAAAAGCGTGTTTCATGATAGTTTTTCAAACTACTATTTATTACAAAAGTTTTTTCGCCATATTGGATCCGCCATCTTAAATTTCCCAATTACAAAGAAAAAATCATAGTCTCCGACCCCGATAACCCCCAGATACAAATTTTGAATATAATTGGATCATAATTAGAAAACTCGTCCGCCATATTGGATCCCCCATCACTAATTCCCTAATTTCGATGAAAGAATCATAATCTACGACCTTAAAATCCCCCAGTTAAGAATTTTGAATGGAGTCGGATCTCGTCCGTCATATTGGATCTTCCATTTTGGATTTTCAAATTCTTATGAAAGAATTATCTCCGGCTCCGAAAACCCAGATACCGATTTTGAATAGAATCTGATAATTAAAAAACTCGTCCGCCATTTTAGATTCGCCATTTCGAATTTTCTAATTTTGACAAAGGAATCATAATCTCCCACCTCGAAAACCCCCAGTTACCAATTTTGATAGAATCTGACCATAATTACAAAACTCGTCCACCATATTGGATCTGCCATCTTGAATTTCCAAATTTTGATGAAAGAATCATAATCTCCGACCCCAAAAACCTCAAGATACGAATATTGAATGGAATCTCATCATAATTAAAAAACGCGTCTGCCATATTGGATCCGCGATCTTGAATTTCCGAATTTTGACGAAAGAATCATAATCTCCGACTCCGAAACCCCCGAGATACCAATTTTGAATAGAATCGGTCCATAATTGAAAAACTCCTCTGCCATATTGGATTCGCCATTTTGAATTTCCTAATTTTGATGGAGAAATCATAATCTCCGACCGTAAAAATCCTCAAATACCAATGTTGAATGAAATCGGATAACAATACTCGTCCGCCATATTGGATCCGCCATCTTGAATTTTCAATTTAAAAAATAGATTACGACCGCTTCTCATACCTACCGAATACGCACAAAAAATTTCAGACGAATCGGTCGAGCCGTTTCGGAGGAGTTCGTGTCAACGGCAGTCTTGGCGGGAAAGAATTACTTTCCGCACTTGTTAGGAAAATTACTATTGTTTCCAGGTCCCAAAAAAGACAACGATTGGGGCGCAGGCGCCAATCCGAACACGGTGGGCGGCTGGGGCGATCCCAGATCGGGCGACCCTCGCCAGTCGGGCGGCGGCATGGACCACCCTCGGGGCGTGGGCGTGGGTGGCGTGGGCGGGCCTGACATGCGTTCGGGCAATTCCGATGCCGCGATGCGCCTGCTCGATGCCAGAGAACAAATGCGGCAGATGGCCGGCGGGGATATGAGGGGTGATCCGAGAGGTGAGTACTTTTTGTTAGATTTTTTGAATTATTAATGACGATTTCTGAAATTCTTAGGTTAGGTAACCTAACATGACCATTTCTGAATTATAATGGACTAATTTGAATTGCAGTTGACTGAGCTGGATTACACATAACGAGTACTAAATTACAAATGAAGATTTCTCAATTATAAATGACGGTTTCCGAATTGAAAATGCCGATTTCTGATTTAAAAATTACGATTTCTGAGTTATAATTGATAATAGTCAAGGTCATTCACCTAACTAATTCCTTAGATATTAACCACTTTCGAGCTTTAATTTTCATACTACAATTGACACTTTCAAGCTCCAATTGGCACTTTCCAATTGACACATATTGATCTACAATTGACATGTGTTTGTCTACAATTGACACGTTTTGAGCTACAATTGACATTTTTAGCTACAATTGTCACTTTTCAGATACAATTGAGAGGTTTTGAATTTCAATTGATAAGTTTTCAGCTACAATTGACACTTTTGTTGATTGATTTATTGATTATCTTTATCAGTCCAAGAAACATATGGTTATGATAGGAATACATGAACACATTAGAAATAATAATAATAATGAAAGGTCTACTAATAAATTCCACTCAGTGAAAACAGATTCATACGTCATCTTAAGATGAAAGTTATAACATTTCAATTCTGAGTAATCAAATCTGCCAAATATTCTCAATGAGTAATGAGCTACAACCGACAAGTTTTGAGCTGCAATTGACAGGTTTTGATCTGAAATTGACACGTCTGATCTACAATTGATATGTTTTGAGCTAAATTATTGACACTTGGAGCTTCAATCAACACGTTTTTAGCTACATTCGACACTTTTTCAGTTACAATCAATACTTTTGAGCTACAATCGACACTTTTGATCAACAATTGACACTTTTGATCAACAATTGACAGATTTTGAGCTACAATTGAGAGGGTTTGACTTGAGCTGCAATTGACAGGTTTTGCTGCAATTGAAAATTGACCCTATTTATGAGCTCCAATTGACACTTCTGAGCTACAATTGACACTATTTATGCTACAATTGATACTATTTGAACTACACTTGACATCATTGAGCAACAATTGGCACTATTCGAGCTACAATTGATGCTACTTTATCGAAAATTGACACTATTTGGGCTACAATTGACACTATTTGAGCTACAATTGATACGTTTTAGCTACAATTGATATGATTTGAGCCACAATTGACACTATTGAGCTATGACACTATTTGAGCTACATTTGACACTGTTGAGCTACAATTGATACTAATTGTGCTACAATTGATACTATTTGATCAACAATTGACACTATTTGAGGTACAATTCACACTATTTGAGCTCGAATTGATATAATTTGAGCTACATTTGACTGTTGAGCTACAATTGATACTAATTGTGCTACAATTGACACAATTCAAGCTACAATCGACATAATTCAAGGTACAATTGATACTATTCAAGCACACTATTTGAGCTGCAATTGTCAATATTGAGCTACAATTGACACTATTTGATCTACAATTCACACTATTTGAGCTACAATTGACACGTTTTGAGCTACAATTGGTATAATTTGAGCTACAATTGACACTTATGAGCTGCAATTGACACTATTTGAGCTACATTTGATACTGTTGAGCTACAATTGATTCTAATTGTGCCACAATTGACCCAATTCAAGCTACAATCAACACAATTCAAGGTACAATTGACACAATTCAAGCTATAATTGAGACTATTTAAGCACACTATTTGAGCTACAATTGCCACTATTCGAGCTACAGTCGATACTATTTGATCAACAATTGACACTATCTGATCAATAATTGACACTATTTGAACTACAATTCACACTATTTGAGCTTCAATTTATAAGTTTTGAGCTACAATCGATATGATTTGAGCTACAATTGACACTTATGAGCTGCAATTGACACTATTTAAGCTACATTTGACACTGTTGAGCTACAATTGATACTAATTGTGCTTCATTTAACACAATTCAAGCTGCAATCGACAATTCAAGCTACAATTGACACAATTCAAGCTACTATTGACACAATTCAAGCCACAATTGACACAATTCTAGCTACAATTGATACTATCCAAGTACACTATTTTAGCTACAATTGTCACTATTCAGCTACAATTGACACTATTAAGCTACAATTGACACTATTCGAGCTACAATTGATACTATTTGATCAACAATTGACACTATTTGTGCTACAATTCACACTATTTGAGCTACAATTGACACGTTTTGAGCTACAATTGATATAATTTGAGCTACAGTTGACTTATGAGCTGCAATTGACACTATTTGAGCTATTTTGACACTGTTGAGCTACAATTGATACTAATTGTGCTACAATTGACACAATTCAAGCTACAATTGACACAATTCATGCTACTATTGACACAATTCCAGCTACAATTGACACAATTCTAGCTACAATTGATACTATTCAAGTACACTATTTGAGCTACAATTGTCACTATTAAGCTACAATTGACACTATTCGAGCTACAATTGATACTATTTGATCAACAATTGACACTATTTGGGCTACAATTCACACTATTTGAGCTACAATTGACCCGTTTTGAGCTATAATTGATATGATTTGAGTTACAATTGACACTTATGAGCTGCAATTGACACTATTCAAGCATACAATCACCGACACTTTCTGTATCACACAATAAAACATTTTTCGCCACGACACTTGAGCCTCTCGTTATGTATTTCACGTCTCTCTCAGGCATCACCGGAAGACTGAACGGCGCCGGCGCCGAGGCGTTCTGGGGTGGAGGCGGCGGCGGCGTTGGTGGCCAAGGAGGCGGGCCGCCGCAGCAACAGCAGCACGGCAACGCCGCCCAACAGATGCACCACCACCACAGCAAGATGTCGGGGCAACAGGGCGGCGGCGGCGGCAACACTGTAGCCGGGTGGGAGGAGCCATCGCCGCCGTCGCAACGTCGCAACATGCCCAACTACGATGATGGCACGTCGTTGTGGGGCAATCCGCAACAAGGTGAGCTTGTTATTTTGTTTGCTAATCTCCTTTTGTTCTTTTTTTTGTTGATTTGTACAAACTGTCCTATGTTCGATGTCCTAATGGGATATCTCACTTATTTTCACAGATAGATTTTCGCCAAATTCAATTCTTCGCCATTTTAGAATAAATGTACAGGGTGATCAGTTAAGGGTAGCGAGCGGCCATATCTCATATATAGATTTGAGAAAAAAATATCATGATTAAAGTCGTCAAGGGAGATTGCTGGAAATTATTTTCGAGTTTGTCAAACGTCCGGTAGAGGGCGTAACAACCAACACCAAGTAGAAAAATGGCATTTTTATAGAATTTTGTCCAATGAAAGTATACCGATGATATCATTTTCATATTTACTGACACTACCCTACATTTTTTGTCTGAAACGTTTTGTTCTATCTATCAAAATGAAGCGGTGGGGGAAGTTCAATTGTTTTTTCAAACAAACCAAGATTTCTCCTGTTTATTTCGTCCGACGTTAGCAAACTTAGGCTCATATGAAAGAGCATAATTTGCCCTACAAAATGCTTATTTGGTTTCGAACTTTTGACTTTTGCTATCGCCGCTAGATGGCGTTAACTGAAATGTCAGCAAGTCAGCAAATTTTTGAGTTGAAAAAAAAAAAGTAATGGTATAATAATTTTTATATGTTTTGAAATAGGATAAATTTCTCTATAATTTGAATGGGATAATTTATCATCTACCTTTTTTTGAACCGTTGATATTGACCAAGATATAATATTATTCTATTATAAAATATCACGCCACGGTTTTTCATCAAAATAAAAATCAGTTTTGTAATCTCTTATTAGTTGCTAACAAAAAGAACCTCTTGACTTTTTTCGTTACCACCGATACAACAAGGCCAGCAGACTCTGACGTAAACAGCTCGTGACGTCACCAAGAGAGGCCAGTGTTTTATTTTATCGCTTGTCGACTAACGCGTCAGTTCGTGTTAATTCATCAGTGATTCACGTATGTTTTTGAAACGGTCCCGAATTCTTTTGTTGTTTATTCATCAAAATAATTGGCGGAAAAATTACTGTTTTGTGAAATATTTTGTGTCGGATCGGCGAAATAACAATGCCTTTCAAGTGTTGTGTTCGCTTTTGTCGGGGGAATTATGTGGGTGGTTCAAAAGTTCATGCTTTTAGTTTCCCGTTGGACGAGGAGCTATCGAAAATGTGGGTATATGCAATTCACCGCTAGGATTTTACTCCATCTAAGTTCAGTAGTAAACAGAGCTTAATTTATAATGATGAATTAATAATAGAAGACAATTACTCTCTCATAAAAAGTATAAGTAGAGGAAAAATAGAAAAGCTTTGATTGTGCAGTTAGTTTTGTATTCGTATATTATAGTCAACAAAATCATCTCTGAATTCGGGGAAATTTTCTTGAATGTTCATAATAAACGGGCATTTTTAATTCTCATTCTCAAATTTCTTTCTGAAAACGGTCATTTTCCTCGTGGCAATGAATGCAGAATTCATTCCAATGATCAAATTGCAACTGTCATATTAACATGAACTACAAACACTCTACTTAAAAAGGTGAAACTGCATTTATCATGATATTTATCATGAAGATATTTGACTAAAAAGTTCCAAATTTCACCTTCTTTTTCACCTGTCTTCTGGATGGCATTAAGAACAAATTTCCCTTCTTTTTTCATCATATTGGACAATTTATATATAGTTCAACTATAAATATGATTTTCTTGAGATTAATCCATATTTAGTGAAAAGAAGGAAGAATATCATTCAAAATAATGGCGTGTGTAATGTCATTCGAAAGCAATCTATTGACATTTGACTTCTCGTATTTTGATTGACTATTGATTAAATGGTCGTCATCTGGAATGCTTGTTCACTAAATATGAAAAACTCGCCATAAAAATCATATCTCCTGTTGAATTTTTTGTATAAAAATGTGCCATCGAAGTACATCATGAGTATATAAAGTGTCCAATGACAAAATAAGAGCAAGTAGCTTCAAATGCCCCCAACACAAGGGGAGAAAGAAGGCGAAATTTCGATCTTTTTCTTGAAATATCTCAATAAATAGTGGTTTGTTCACATTTTCATTATGAAATTCGGTTTATCAGACAAAAATACGTGAGTACCGAAAAAAAATTTCAAAAAAAAAAAACCATCGCATGATAAATGCAGTTTTACGGTTTCAAGTGTAACGATCCACTTGGGTGAAAAATCCAACAACAGAAAATTGAGAACACTCACTGGTTATTTTTTCAGGTAATAGGAATTCTCCAAGATAAATATAGGTAATTGTAACAAACGGCATGTCAATCAAAATAAAATACATTTTCCACAATTTTCTTTCGATCAATCTCACGATAAGTATGTTCTGCGGGCCCTGTATAAGTAGGTGTGAAGTTAACCTTCACCAAAATTTTTGCCAATATATTTAATTCGAATGGGTTGCTGTAGATATTTGTGTTTTATCCTGGTTTTTGCTTTAAAACTTCGTTTTTTCATAATAAAATCGAATGGGGTGCGAAGAAGGGCTCAGTTGACGACTGGCATCCTTCTTTAACCGGAAGCCCTTCAAAAAACAGCAAAATCGGCTCAATGATGATCTAAAACTAAAATCGAAATACGCGGTCGCCTTATAGCGCTATAAGCGCTTGTCGTTTCGAGCCGCTGGTTAGGCCTGACTAAGTGACGTCACCCACGGAGCATGCAGGCCTTGTTGTATCGGTGGAACCGTTTTTTTCGTTAGACAAACTGTTTTGGATTGTCCAACGAAAAAAGTCAAGAGGTTCTCTCTGTTAGTTACTAATAAGAGATCACAAAACTGATAAAAACAGTGGCGTGCCATTTTTTAATGGGATGAAATTATATTTTAGTTATTATCAACGGTTCCAATAAAAGGTAGATGAAAAATTATTTTCATTAAATTATAGAAAAATTCATCCTCTCCTAAAATATATAAAAATTAATATACCATTACATATGTTTTTTTTTTGAAAAAAACTCAAAAATTTGCTAACATTCTAGTTAACGCCATCTAGCGGCGACAGCAAAAGTCAAACATTCCCAACCAAATGAGCGTTTTGTAGGACAAATTATGCTCTTTCATATGAGGCTAAGTTTGCTAAAATCGGTCGCAATTTAAGGGGAGAAATCTTAGTTTGTTTAAAAAAACATATGAACTTCCCCCACCGCTATATTTTGATAGATAGAACAAAACGTTTTAGACAAAAAATGTAAGGAAATGGTCAGTAAATATGAAAATGATATACTTTCATTAGACAAATTTCTATAGAAACCCCATTTTTCTACTTGGTGTTGGTTGGTTACGCACTCTAGCGGACGTTTGCCACACTAGAAAATAATTTCCAGCAATTTCCCTTGGCGACTTCCATCATGATTTTTTTATTCTCAAATCTGTACGACCAATATCTTATGAGATATGGCCGCTCGCTACCCTTACTGATCAGCCTGTACACTTGCACCTAGCATACACCTTTAAAAAAAAAACGAAAAAAAAAAAACCACTGAAAACTTTGCACCTCGCCGTAGGGTCTCACGGGTCTCACTGGAAAGATCTGCCCACAGGGGGAACGATGGGCCGCGGCGTGGGCGGTGGCGTCAACAATGTGGGCGTGAACCTGGGCCCGCCCGGCATGGCGGGGCAACAGTCGCGCATGAAACCCGACGTGGGCGGGGGCGTATGGGGCGGCCAACAGCAGCAGCAGCAACACGGGCGCAACGGCTCGTGGGACGACGGGGGCGGGTTGGGCGTTGGTGGGGGCGGGTTGGGCGTGGGCGGGCCCGGGGGCGGATGGGACGATCCCGTCTCGTGGGCGAAGCAGAAGTTGGCGGGGCCGTTGTGGGAGGAGAACGAGTGGGGCGTGGGCGGGCATAAGATGGGCGGGAAGCAGCAGCTGCCCAAGGAGATCGTGTGGAATTCGAAGCAGTTTCGGATGCTTGTCGATATGGGATATAAGGTGGGTTGTTTTTTTTTTCAAGGAAGAAAATATTGTCTCGCGAATCATTGACACATAATTTATGATCTTATTTTATTATTTTAAACAGGGTGTTTCCGAAATTGGTGCAATAAATGAAACGAGGTGTTTTATGCGACATAATGGCATAATAAATCGCACAAAACAATTGTTTTAAAAATTCCACAACAGTATTGTTACGTTATGCGGGTGCAGAAGCGAACACGACACTATTTATTTTCGAACGGATTTATTTGAACTAAAGGAACACTAATTTATATCGAACTTAAAACTACTATTTATGTAAAACGATTTATATCACGCGGTATATAACTGTCTCTCTGACACTCGCTGCTCGACTGACTGACGGCAGTTATTCGGCCGTTTATATATGAGATCACTTGGCAGGCTTTGGTTCGAGAACCTTCTCGAATGATCTTCCGTCTCCTTCTTTTTGTTCTAGAAGCTTCTTAGAACAAAGCCTCTCTCTCTAATTGTTCCATCGATTGTTTCCAGAACATTCCAGAATCTTCTGTGACGTTATCTGTCACTGCGGCATATATTGAGTGTTCGGAAATATGCTGGTGTATGTAGGAATCATTGGGAGGTTGGAGAACAATCTGGGATGCGTGATACAGGATGATCGTTGTACTCCTGTCTTACTGATGATGTTTCTAAAGCCCCTCTAAGGGAAATATCATTACAGTATTGTTAACCTAACCAAATCGGGTTGCTTTGACATTTTATCATAGCAGCTTATGTATTTTGGTGGGAATTCTTTTCTTGTAGGTAAAATTGTGATTTTGTGCTACTACAATCAGTAGAAATCAACAATGGGGAGGTTTTCTATATTGAGGTTTTTATCTCACTGTGGTGTTTGTGTAAAAAATTAATATACCGGGTGACACAGAAGACATGTAGCAGCCTGTAGTTTTTTCATTTGAAGAGATGAAATTTCGAAATTCACAGGGGGTATATAATGAATGGTAGCGCACTGAACGAATTTAACGACAATTTTTTTCAACCACCTGTTTGACCGGAAGTGACCCCAACTTTTTTTTCAAACGTCAATAAGATCATGTGTGCTGAAGACATTTTCAATCTAAACTACTCAACACTAATTTCGTCGCACACCAAAATGTCGCCCCTGTTATAATGTGAATAACTTTTTTCAGTTTAAAACAATTTGAATTTGGTTCACACTGTTCGATAGCCAAGTCCTTCAGCTATAATCTCGTACTTCATTGAAACATAAGGGTATTCACATAAAATCTCTACATGGTGTTTTCCGACACTGTGCGAAATTTCGGAATATTCAAAAGGCTCTCGAATGGTGAAATCATTTTTTTTTCTCAACTACGACAACAGAGGCATGAAGATGATCTCATTACCTCGAGATATTTCGCGAATCATCTTCCTATCTCTTATTTACAGAGTGATCTCAAAAAATCAACTTTTTGGTTTTGCAGCCATAACTTTTTTCCACGTCAACCGATTTTGGAAATCTTAGGCTCATTTTGGAGATAAAACTTCCGATGAAGAGATCTGAATATCAGAATGGACTCAAGATAGCTATCAAAGATCCAGAGTTTTCTTGAAAGTGACCCAAATCTGGAACGCCCTTCGAATCTTGGTTGGGAGGAGAATTGAATGAAAATGAACTTGTTCTCGGAAAAACAATTCATTCTGGATGCGTCCATATTTTCCTCGCTCTCAGTACTCAAGAATGTGCGTGAGAAAACACAATTGAAACATGTTCTTTCAAAAACATTAGATCATTTCTCCTCTGTAATGCATGGCCCGCCGTAACCAACGTTACAAGAATCACAATGAGTGACTAACAAACCCGACCAGCTGACGTTTATTTATTGTAAAAATGCATTTCAAAAATGGTGAAAGTTTCACGAAAACAGTTTGCCAATTACATAAAATTTTCAGTCGCAATAATGCGCCGAACGAGTCGACAGTAATAACCAAACAATTGCAGATCCGCGATTTGGAGGGAAGATAATCCTTGTTCCCTCATTTGTGGAATCAGTTCCAACTGGTCGGGCGTTAGAATCGGCATCGAAACTATCAAAATCTGTTTATGATTCGAAAACGACGTCTAACCTGACTTGTCAGTCACTTACTGTGATTCTTGTAACGTTGGTTACGGGGCATGCATTACAGAGGAGAAATGGTCTGATGTTTTTGCAAGAACATGTTTCAATTGTGTTTTGTCACGCACATTCTTGAGTACTGAGAGCGAGGAAAATATGGACGCATCCAGAATGAATTGTTTTTCCGAGAACAAGTTGATTTTCATTCAATTCTCCTCCCAACTGAGATTCGGAGGGCGATCCAGATTTGGGTCACTTTCAAGAAAACTCTAGATCTTTGATAGCCATCTTGAGTCAATTCTGATATTCAGATCTCTTTGTCTGAAGTTTTATCTTCAAAATGAGCCTAAGATTCCCAAAATCGGTTGACGTGGAAAAAAGTTATGGCTGCAAAACCAAAAAGTTGATTTTTTGAGATCACTCTGTAAATAAGAGAGATAGGAAGTTGAATCGCGAAACATCTCGAGGTAATGAGATCATCTTCATGCCTCTGTTGTCGAAGTTGAGAAAACATTTTTTTTCACCATTTGAGAGCCTTTTGAATATTCCGAAATTTTGCACAGTGTCGGAAAACACCATGTAGAGATTTTATGTGAATACCCTTATGTTTCAATGAAGTACCAGATTATAGCTGAAGGACTGGGCTATCGAACAGTGTGAACCAAATTCAAATTGTTCTGAACTGGAAAAAGTTATTCACATTATAACAGGGGCGACATTTTTGTGTGCGACGAAATTAGTGTTGAGTAGATTATTAGCAGTATTAGCTTGTATTGCAGAAGTGACAGAAGGCAGAAGGAATTTCAATAAGGAATGACAACATTCCATAATGAAAACTATATGAGATTACTATTTACGTAAAAAATCATATTCTTTCGTCTCTCGCTGCATTTTTTGTGCATTGTACAACAGCATAATAAGAAGGCATGCTTGAAATAATGAATAGCGCAAAAACACGATTCGCACGCGACCTATTGAAGAATTACGCACTAAATGAACATACTGTATTTACTTCACGAATCTAAATCTCTTCACACGATCCCACCCCTCAAATCGCAGAAAGAAGACGTCGAAAACGCTTTGCGCATGCGCGAAATGAACTACGAAGAAGCGCTCGACCTGCTCAGCCCGATGCGCAACTCCCGAGACGCGGGCGGTTGGGGCGTGGGCGGAGGCCTGGGCGTGGGCGGCGGCCGTCACGACGACCACTACGACCACCCGCCCTTCAACTGCCAGCGCTACCCGCCCGCCGGTCCGGGCGGAGTGGGCGTGGGCGGGTTCCAGCAGGGCGGCGCGCCCAACAACCTGTTGAACAACATGGCGGCGAATTCGTCGAACGGTTCGCTGATCAACAACATCTCGCCGGCGGTGGTGCAGAAGATGTTCACGCAGGGCGGCGGTGGGGGACAGGGCGGGTTCGGGGGCGGGTCGATGGGCGGCGGCGGCGGCGGGGGTAGGAGTTTGCAGCCGCAGTCGCAGCCGTCGACGCAGCAGTTGAGGATGCTGGTGCAGCAGATCCAGATGGCCGTGCAAGCGGGATACCTCAATCACCAAGTGAGTGGTTGTTTTTTTTGTTTTTTTTGTTTTGGAGCCTGATTTATTGTGAGTTTTTGGACGCTGAGAGATTTATTTGTGCTGTTCAGATTCATTCTGTATATTTAAACAGCTTCTACAGGGTTCATCATTGAAGATAGAGAAAATCTTTGAATGCAACAGTTGTAGGGTTTGTTCTGAACCTCCAGAAAATTATACCAGATGAAACAAATGAATATCGCTGATATAAGAAATGGGTACCAACTTCGTTATTTTTAATAGAACACCCTATATATTTTTCGAAAAAATTCAAGATCTTTTCTTCCTGATTCTAAAAATATATTGATAGATAGATAGATAGATAGATAGATACGCTTTGTTGTCTAAAATGTGCATATTTTGTCGACAAAGTCAGTATCTTGCGATACATTGATTGCAAGATTAAACATGAATAAAACAGAACAGGAATATATAAAAATAATACAGAACAAAAATATATGAAATAAAATAACAGACAAGTTTCATTATTATTACAAACAACAATTATCTTTAAAATCAATAATATGAATCTCTAATTATTCTCACATATCATAGAAAGACTAGAATTTGTAGGCAAAGTATTCATCCAAACTGTACAAGCTGATTTTTTCATTGATTTTTGGTTCAGCCGTTTTCGAGATATTCGAGGTTGAACATTTCGACGAAAGAATCATAATATCCGACTCCTGAAACCCCAGATGAAAATTTTGAATAGAATCGGAACATAATGACAAAATTCGTCCGCAATATTGGATCTACCATCTTGAATTCCCTAATTTTGACGAAGGAATTATAATTTTTGATCCAGAAAACGCCCACTCACAAATTCTGAATAGAATCTGTATATAATTACAAAACTCGTCCGGTATAATTGGTTCCACCGTCTTGAATTTCCAAACCCCGCCCTTTCAAAATTTTGACAAAAGAATCATAATCTCCGACCCCGAAAAAAAAACAGATAACAATTTCGAAGAGAGTCGGATCATAATTTTAATACTCGTCCGCCATTTGAATTTTCTAATTTTGACGAAAGAATCATAATCTCCCACCCAAAGAACCACCAGATACCAAGTTTGAATCCGACTTTGGATCCGCCATCTTGAATTTCTTAATTTTGACGAAGGAATCATAATCCCCTATCACGAAAACCCCTAGGTACCAATTTTGAAAAGAATCGGATTATGATTACAAAACTCGTCCACCATATTGGTTCCGCCGTCTTGAATTTCCAAATCCCGCCAGATTTTTCAAATTCTGACAAAGAATCATAATCTCCGACCCCAAAATCCCCCAGATACCAATTTTAAATAGAATCGGACCATAATTACAAAACTCGTCCGATATATTAGATCCGCCATCTTGAATTTCCTATTGGTACCGGGATAAAAAGTATCCTATAACCTTCTCCTAGTTCTAAGCTACCTCATCATCAATTTTCAGCCAAATCGATCCAGTAGTTCCGGAGTCTATTCAATACATACAATCAAACAAACAACCAAACATTTCCTCTTTATAATATTAGTATAGATAAAAAGTACCCAATGTCCTTTCTGAGAATACCTATAAAAATATTTTTTCTACAAACGTCAGTAAAAGTATTATTTTTGACGCATGCTGTCAGTGTCTAAAATGTCATTTTATGACACTGGTGTTGAAAGTGAATTACTTTTAGCACTAGTGCTAAAAGTGATTTATGTTTGAGAGAAAATATAGAAGGAAAACTCGTACTGCCGCTTTGACTAACTAGGCAATTACTCAAAAGCAGCTTTACTAGCAGCATCTTCAATTTCCGGCGATAGAAATTCATTTTCTTGATCACTTTCCATGGAGGAACGAAGAACCGAGAAAGAATAATTTGTGATTTATTGACGTTAGTTGTCATCAAAGACAAATCAACAAATTCGGTTTTTGTGGATTGGCAACTTGTTTCATGAATAGATTAGATGAAATTGGATTCAAAACTAACAATAATCTTTTCAATTAATTAATGTGAAATAGGTATGCGTTAATTTGAACTTTTATTGGTGTTTGTAGAGTGCATGATATACCTGCTAAAAATGATTTCATTTTGTTCGAAGGGATGGAACACTCCGCCTTCGGCGTCGTGTCCCAAACTTCCCTTCTCACGAAATGTCACTTTTAGCACTTATATCATGAATAACTATTATGATGATCGGTTGTGTAGATTTGGCGTGAAAGCCCGACAAAGAAACTTTTTTTTCAAGTGTTTTATTAACATGTTTAATATGACAAAATGATAGTAAATTACAAGTGATACAAAAAAAATAGCTATGCTAGTAAAACGAACATCCCCAATCAGCTAACGCTGGTCTTGGGATCAGTAGATCACACTCTAGCCAACTAGTAAGTACTTTTTACAGGTAGAGTAACAACATCTAGTATCTATCTATGATTCATTTAAAGTACTAGTAACGACTATTTACAGATAAGTAATAAAATCTAGTATGGGTTAATCCTAGTATGATTAATTTAATGTACAGTTTGTTATCAATATACAGGGTGTTTCAAAAACACCTGACCTCCTTACTAGGGTAGGTATAACACTGCAAAATAAGTAGGGTTTAATCAGTTAAAAAATTTCGTAACGGCATCCGTTATCAAGATACAAGGTGTTGAAAAAATGATTTTTTTACACATTTTTCAAGATTATGTCGAAACTACTGGCAACATTGTAGTGAAATTTTGTATGTTTTCTTTTGGAATCTGACACATCGCATGCATTTGTTTTTATATCTGACTCTCATAGATGGCGCTAGTTGCACGGTTCGTACCGATTAGTTCTGAACACAACTTTTTTGAGGTTAGATTTTTCAATCCAGATTTGATGTGAACTTGACCATCATTCAATTCTATAACAAAAAGGTACTCATGGTGAAACTCGATACTGTGTTTTCGTCGATTCGAAAATGATGGAGTGATAATGTTGCTGGTATAAAGCTATGTATTAGAGTGAGTATTATGAAAAATTATCACCTATTTATTGAAAACCGGAAACAACAATACATTTCTGATGCTGAACTTATTGATTTTACAATGTATCACAAGAATAACATCGAAACAGAATTGAATAAGAACGTGGATTACACAATTTTGTTGTATCTTGAGCCGTCAAGAGTTGTGAGACATAAATTGAACATCACTAAAATGACCTAACAGCTGATCCTCAACTGTTGAGAAGAATAATACATTCTTAAGAAAAGAAAATAGAATCGTTTTTTCTTCAAAACGTAGGACATTTTGAACACACTCTAACTGATTCAATATTTCATGTTTCAAGTAGAATATCTCTTAATTTTCTACTTATGATTCTTTGTTCCATCAATAACTTCAGTACAAGAATAATTTCATTGTTTTCGAATCTGAATAAATAGGTAATTGAACTCAATAAATAGTTATTTATTATACAAGGGAAAAAAGTAGTAGATTTTAGCTCCAGGTTGTGAGCTAGAATCTAATATTTTGCCCGTGTATAATACACTATTTTTTTCTATGACAGAAGGAAGGAAGAATCAATATTGAGAAGATATTACATTATTTCGAAATCTGAAAATTATCGACGTGAAATTTCAAGTTTTTAACAGTAGGGACACCTGCGTTTTATAGACATCTTCATCATTCTTTTGAAGTAATCAAATATCTGATGTCACTTCTGTCAGTTCAATTCTGTGATTTGATTTTAAAAATTGCGAATTCAGTAGTTGTTTAGTAATATACGAAACCGCGAAGTCGAATGGAAGATAAAAGGACTTGCAGTTCTTTCTCGGAGACGATATTATTGACTCATTTTTCGGAACTATAGCACAACAAAAGCCATTAACAGAGTATATATATGTGATATATATCCGGGAAAAAGTACTCACTTTTTTCCCACGGGAAAAAAGTAATTTATGAAAAGTGACATTTTATAACCTGTCAACAGAGATGAAATGCCAAACTTTTTTCCCGTCACAGAAAAAAATCATTTTATACTAGCATCAGCTATTACTCCATTATTTTCAAATCGAAATATTCCGAAAACTGAACATAGTATCGAGTTTCACCAGGAGTACCTTTTTGGTGTGAAATTGAATGATGTTCGAGTTCATATCATATTTGGATTGAAAAATATAACCTCAAAAAAGTTATGTTCTAAACTACTTGGTACGAACCCTGTAACTAGCGCCCTCTATGAGAGTCAGATATAAAAAACAAATTCATGTGATGTGTCAGATTTCAAGAAACATTTATATACAAAATTTCATCACAATGTTGCCAGTAGTTTCGACATAATCGTGAAAAATGTGGGGTTAGGTTTTTTTTGAAACACCCTGTATATACTAAATATATACTGTATTCATATGACTCTTTGATGCTTTTCTTAAACATGCTATAACTATGACCTAGTTTCATTTCATCAGGAAGACTGTTATACTCTTGAACAGCCCGACTAATAGGATTATTTAGTGCAATGTTGGTTCTTACATTTGGCAGTGCTATATCATTCTGGTTTCTTGTATCATGGTTATGTATGTTATGGCGGTGCATTCACATTCATAATATTAGTATAGTTAAGTCTTCATAAGATGTCTGTTTGGCAAGCCTACTAAATAAAATGTAAACAGAGGATCATAAAAAAAATAATCAAGTCATTGTACAAAAAAGTATTACATATAAAAGAACTATTTATGAACTTTATAAGTGATTGTTTCATTTCGAATTTGCAAGCCTCATTTATAAATATAATAATTTAGATATACAAGTTATTCCTTGTTGAATTCTTTTGTCCGATTTATAGAGTACAAGCAATAAGACTGAAAGTAGGCAAGCCTACTGCACAAAATAAAAAGGATGGTATGTGAAAGTATTAAGAATGATAAAATTGACAATGATAACGTCATATTTGAGACAAAATATTTATAGAGCGTCTGAATTTACAGACGCAATTAATTAATATTATTTAATAGCCCCAATAAAAAAATGTGTATTTTTCGCGTAACTCACGTTAGCCTATTGTTTGCAGTGGGTGCATTTCGAAACAAATATTTATAGGTAGAAAAATATTCCCGAACTTGAAAGTTGGCGAATTCAAAAACACTCTGTACATGTCATGGTTTTTTCCTTAATGCAGATTCTCAATCAACCGCTGGCACCTCAAACTCTGGTGCTGTTGAACCAGCTGTTGCAACAAATCAAAACGCTGCAACAGCTCAACGCGCAACAGGCGATCGCCGCCCCCCACCCCATCAACGGGAAGCCGAGCAACGCCTACTTGCAATGCTCCGTCATGATAACGAAAACCAAACAGACTATCGCCAATCTACAGGTGAGTTGATTTTTTTTATGTTCGGTCCTAATTAGAGTCACTGTATGGTATTAGTTTGATAAGAGTTCGGACACAGCTGAACTTTTTTGTCCTTTTCTATTTTCTGTAATACAATGGTTTAAGTGAATACAAGAATAAGACATATATTCTGCTCTTTGTCTTTTCAATTTCCCTAGTAGCGCCTGATTGTCAGATACGATTTTAGAGGTTATATTTTGTGTCAAATCAATCATAGCCGTAGATGGACAATGGATATAGGGTACAAACACCCACTTCAATTCATAGTGATACCTACACTTCTAGCAGAGCAAGATTTATATAAATGAAAAAAATGCATGTAACAACATTTCAATATCAGAGAATATATACATATGGATAAACTTATAGCTATAATTCCTTATTGTATGTGGAACTGTACTCCAGTGAAGTATTCCTGAGACAATTTCAAGAAATAAAGTCTCTATAAGCTTGTGTCTGGAAATGCTTCATTTCGGAGATACAGGGTGTTGAAATACAGAGAACAAATCATTTTTCGATAATTATTTCATGGGAAAAAAGTAATTTATTTTGACGAGACCTACCAAATCCTTGATTTTGTAAAGTTCTCAGCAACTTCACTTAGCGCCCTAGGAGCTAAGTAACATGGATCGATATAGAAAATATCTCCAAAACGATAACCTCCAGCGTAATTAAGGCCCTTATAATAATTCCCTTGATACATAAATATCTATTCACTTTTCACTGTTGAATTTTCAATTCGCGGTCAGCACCAAAAACGCCATTCAATAATACATCACGTTGTAGTTTACTTGCTTTTCTGAGTTTCGTTTTCGTATTTTCAATTTCATAATGTAATTTTGCGATCATTTCCCCTTTTTCCATGATTATTTTGTTTTGTATTTTGTGTGATTCTAATAATGGGATTTTGTTCTTGAAATCGTTTGCTTTGTAAATTGATGGAACAGCAGATTCTCTCAAACAGATTTTGGAATCTTCTGTTTGAAAATGGGCCTAAAATATAGATTAATTCTAATCAGATGCTGTTATAAGAAGTGAATTTCAATGAGTACCTCACAAATTCCGCTCGTCTTCAAATTGATTTTCCACCCAGGCCGTTTCATATCTTCCTTCCATAAGCGAATGCTCGATATTTGATTTGGAAAATCGAATAAATGATATCCATTTGTTTCATAATTGGCACAATTTATTATACAGCAAGTGATTTCCACAGCTGCTTTGATCTCGAAAGTATAATAATTATGAAATTTTATTTCAATTCTGACGTTTATAAAATGAATTGTCAAATTCAAACAATTTTGAATGAAAAATCGCGGGACGACTATGATGCTCTTGTCACAATGCAAGGTGTGTAACTTGATGAATCTAAACATTCAAAAACCCTAACCGTTGTCATTTCTGTGTCCGAACTCTTATCAAACTAATACCATCCAGTGACTCTAGTCCTAATCACATGTTTCTCTTTGTCCATTTGAGTCGTAACTTCGTTCATTCTCTACCCCTTCCTCTAGAAAAATAACAGTACACTTCAAGGGCAGAAATGCAAGATTTTTTCCAAGGTGCGATTTGTAGCTCAAAGGCGAAGCCCGAGAGATACAAAGCACCGAGGGAAAAATAGCATTCTGTCCTGATTTGTATACAGGGTGTTAACAAATAAGTGTCACAACGGAAAACTGTAGATTGCTCATGAAAAAAGAAACATTATTTTCCCTTTCGAAATTTTTCGCCGGGCTTCCGTTATCAAGATACAGGGCGTCAAAAAATACAAAAATAGTAGATTGTTTTACTAGGATCAAAAGTGACACTTTGTTTGACAAGCGAATTTTGCATTTGCGAGGCGGAGCGTTTAGCGAAGCCGAGCGAAAGCAAAATTTGCGAGTCGAACAAAGTCACTTTTGATCCGAATGAAACATGCTATTTTTTCTGCAACCGAAACAATTAACTCAAATAAACATGTGAACTAACCACCAATGTCGTGCCATATGTATGCAATGCAAGAAATATTGGCAAATAATCCATGTGGTGAGAATATTCTACCTGCATTAACAGCAGGTTAGGTTTTCTAGGATGTTCGAATTGTAGTTACAATATTAATACAATCACAGAGTGACATATTTGTGTATGGACCAGGTGCTCTAATGGCAAATACCGCGCCAGTGCCAGCTATAGGAACAAGACGTGGAAAATGTTAGGTTAGTGAGCATATCAACAATGATAATAGTGATTATTTATTCCTCTCCATACTACACTGTGTTTGACTCGATAATCAAATGAAGCTAAACAATATCGTTGTTTGAGACAAAAAAACTATTGTTTACCGTGTTATTCAAAAACAAGTTATCCATCCCGAGAATAACGAATGAAATACAGATCAAGCAAGTATTGAATCTTGAAGGCTTCCCTGATCAAAACAAAAATACTCAGCTGAGATGTTTATGATGCCAATACTAAACTATAATAAGGTGTATTTATATCTCCAGCATGGGTATGAAATGCCAAAACTGCTGAAATCGGAAACAAATCAGGTAATCAGGTCTCAACCCAAATCACCAACCATCACAATGTTGTTTATTCTTGAAGACGTCCAGTAGATCCTTTTTAGTTCCTAGGAGCTAAAGTTCAACTTTAGCTCCTAGGAACTAAAATTCAACTTTAGCTCCTAGGAACTGAATGTTGCCTAGCAACATACCTATTTTTGTGTCAGTAATAGAAACGTCAATTTAAGAGCTAATTTTGGTATCAAAATGGACGACTTTTGTGTCGGTTGCAGAAAAAATCTGTTTTTTGCTACCATCTCAGGAACCGTCGGTGCTACGGAGTTAAGCCTCCGTACACACTGCATCATCAATAATGACTACTTTTAGAGCTCTTGATCAATTTCCTTGTACATGTCAGTGGAGGAGAATTCAACGCCTCGTAAGGGTTTAACCCACCAAACATTTATGCCACTGGAGAAATTGTAATTTTCAAAGTAGATTCTGAAACGCCAATATATTTCACGTCCTCTTGTCTCAATGCTCTTAAAGTGAACAGTTTCCGCGAAAAATGGCTCTTTAGGAGTAAGAACATACAAAATCCTGATGGTATCTCCAAAAATTATCTAAGAATCCACTGGAAATAAACACCTCAGATCTGTCTAATAATATGTTCAATCAAATGTAAGGTTCTCGAGTATGCTGATCTCGATGCTGGTTTTCAAATTGTTAAGTTTATTTAGTGTTGTAAACTGTGTTTAATTAAACTGAACATTTTTAATTTTTTGACGCCCTGTATCTTGAAAACGGAAGCCCGGAGAAAAATTTTTAAGAGGAAAGAAATGTTTCTTTTATTATGAGGAATCTACAGTTTTTCGTTGTGACACTGATTTGTTAACACCCTGTATAGTACTGGCGAAAACACAAAAAAATTGAGAAAGAATAAAAATTTGAAAAAAGTGTCTTGTCATGATTAGTAGTAGTATAGTTTGTGGAATTCGTATCTTGATAACATGCATCTTGTTGATAACCTATGGTGACAGCAAAGATCAAAGTGAAATTTATGAAAACAGCTTTGAAAATGGTTGAAGGTTATGGAACAAGAAGTCGAGGGAAAACCCCAAGAAACTATTGATACTGCTTCTGCAGTGATTCTCAACTTCTGTGTTCTCAACTTGCTACCAATGAGATCCCGAAATCTGTATAATGCAGCTTATACTCGCTTCAGAGAAGGGTGTTCCGAAAAGAAAAAAGCGCAGAGCTATGCGGAAAATGTAAAGTTGGTATAAAACTCCCCCTAGGAAGAAAATATGTCACATTATCTCCCTAGGAAATGATGCGAGACTTCTGCCTCTCTTTTGTTACCAGAGAAACTAGCTTTTACTCCCGCCGGCGAAAAATAGTATATTGTTTTATCAGGATCAGAAGTGACACTTTGCTTGACAAGCAAATTTTGCATTTGCGAGGCGGAGCGTTCAGCGAAGCCTAGCGAAAGCAAAACTTGCGAGTCGAACAAATATCGGCAATTCTTCATCAATTATTATTGACATTGAAATTTTGAAATGAATTTCAATTTCGAGAAGTCAGCGATACTCCGAATACATAATTTCAATGCTTCCTTAGAAACATGTTACGCCCCTGGTTACTTTCAAACAAAATCACATATGTTGAGTTTATATAATTGTAGTTATCAGCTTTGACTCAGCGATATGGACTGACTACGGGACGAAGAATGAATCAGGCAGGCAGAGAGTTGAATACTCGTGAGATCTAATATACTTACTTGGGAAGTGTTATAATATTCATTAGTATAAAATAAAGGTGTTTGTGTTTGTTAGAGCTGAGTATCAGTTATCCTATACACCTTTGTAACATAGTAACCAATGAAATTTTAATGAAAGGGTCCAAAGAGATGTATAAAAATTTAACTGGTGGGCTCACTCTTCAATTGTTTCGTCAGACTAACTCTCGATATGGAACAATTGCAAGCGAGTTTTGGACGTGGGGTTCAGGTATTTGCGATAGAGGCGCCATAATCGGAAAATCGTTCAAAACCTTGGTTCTGTGAGGGATGAATCTATTTCCATCATTGTTCTGTGGTCGAATAAATACTGTGCTCAACATTTTCATTCAAATTTCAATTTGAAATGGAAGCAAGAAATCTTTTTTGTAGCCAATTTCAATAAGCTTCACTTCTTTCATGACATGAACCTATTTAAAGCATGAAATCTGATGAATTTCCTCTTTGAAGAACCAGAACAAAGAATGTATCAACTATTGAAATAGACCAATATCGAAAATCATAATAGGTAGATATTGTAACTGCTACTCACCTTAAAATTTATTCACACCAGTTCACGCTAATATTTCAAATCACTGAAATAATACTGTTGTAGAACAGAGATTTTCTTTTTTCTATGGTGGATTAGGTATTACCTATACACAAAATTTAGAAACTACAGAACACGTCCCCAACGAACACGTCCCCAATCTCAGAAATAACCATTTTTTCAGCTCAAGAATATTTTTGACATATTGACGTTTCGATCCTTTGATCAGGAATCAGTTCACTGCTCTGATCCAAATCATATACGTATCCAAATATTTATCGGTCGGTAATATGTTTCCTGTAAATATGGATTGTAACAGCGAGATTTACCCACGTCAAGTATGTTTATCAAAGGTTTATCAGAGTAGGCGCCATCGAGAAACTTGCAAACGACCTTCAATAGGGAGCAAGCGCACCAGTTCTTACTTCCATCATTATTTCCAAAATACTTTTTGTCTCAAACGTCAAAATAGTGAAAATCTCGTAAATCAATCGATTGTTTTTGTTTCTCTTAGAATCAAATCGCCGCTCAACAAGCAACTTATGTGAAGCAACAGCAACACCAGAGCAGCATGAGCGCCTACGATTCCTTCAAGCCAAACACGATGCACGACTCGATTAACGCTCTTCAAACGAATTTCGCCGATCTCGGAATCAACAAGGATCCTCAATTGGTAAGGAAGCGTTTTTTTTCTTCTTATTCCAATAATTCACTATTCAGTGAGGTGAAAAGTGTTGCCGTATAACCGATTCCTCAGCTTATGAGGATATTTCAAAACATTCATCGCTCTCGAGATTCAACTGATGTCAGCAAGTTTTCAACGAGATTTCATTAATTTTTCCTTTGTGTTTGTCAGAATCAACAACAATCTCGCCTAACCCAATGGATAAACAAAGACAAGGAAGATGGTGGGGAGTTCAGCAGAGCGCCAGGATCGTCGTCGAAACCGATGACCACCTCACCTAACATGAATCCGCTCGGCCTCAATCCTTCTGACGGGTAAGGATTGAAAAAACATACTTTTCTATCTTCCTCTCCCTTTTCTCCTTCATTCTTTGAATTTCTTCCTCGGATTCCTTCTTTGGATTCCTTCCTTGGATTCCTTCCTTGGATTCCTTCCTTGGATTTCTTCCTTTGGATTCCTTCATTCAATTCCTACCTTCTTTGGAGTCCTTTATTTTTGAGATTCCTTTCATCTTGGGATTCCTTTCTTCTTTAGATTTCTTTCCTCTTTGGATTCCTCACCTCTTTGGATTTCTTCCTTCTTTCATTTCGTCTCACCTTCATTCTTACTTTCTGTTTCTTCCTTTCTCCTCCTTTCCTTATTTTCTTCATTATCTTCGCTACTCTTGTCTACTCTAATCCACTACTCTCTACTCTTCTTTCTCCTCTACCCTCCTCTCCTCTATACTCCTATCTGCTATACTGTCTTCTCCCAACTACTTTCCTCTCTACTCTCCTCTCCTTTACTCTCCTCTCTACTCTCCTCTCCTTTACTCTCCTCTCTCCTCTACTCTCCTTTCTTCTTTCCTCTAATCTCCTCTCTCCTCTACTCTCCTATATCTTCTACTCTCCTGTACTCTCCTCTAACCTATACTATCCCTTCTCCTCTACTCCACCTACTCCTACTCTACTCTGCCTACTCTAATCTATCTTCACTACTTTATCTACTCTACCTACTCTACTCTACCTATTCTACCTACTTTACTCTACTCTCCTCCACCTACTCGCCTCTATCTACTCCCCTCTACCTACTCTACCTATCCTACTCTAGCCGCTTCCCCTATACCTACTCTACCTCCTCTCCTCTACCTACTCTACTCTGCCTACTCCGCCTACTCTATCAATTCTGCCTATTCTACTCTAGCTACTCTCTTTTACCTACTCTCCTCTATATACTCGCCTATACATACTCTCTTCTACCTACTCTCCTCTATCTACTCTCTTCTACCTACTCTCCTCTATCTACTCTACTTACTCTACTCTGCCTACTCCACCTACTCTACCTACTCTGCTTATTCCACTCTACCTAGTCTCATCTACCTACTCTACCTGCTCTACTCTACTCTACCTTGTCTCATCTACCTACTCTACCTGCTCTACTCTACTCTACCTACTCTACCTACTCTACCTTCTCTACTTTCTCTACTCTACCTACTCTACCTTCTCTACTCTACCTTCTCTACTCTACCTGCTCTACCTTCTCTATTCTAGCTACTCTACTCTACCTACTCCCATCTACCTACTCCCCTCTAGCTACTCTCTTCAACCTACTCTTCTCCACCTACTCTACCTACTCCCATCTACCTACTCCCCTCTACCTACTCTCCTCAACCTACTCTTCTCCACCTACTCTACTTACTCTACTCTACCTTCTCTACTCTACCTACTCTACTCTACCTACTCTACTCTACCTTCTCTACTCTACCTACTCTACCTACTCCCATCTACCTACTCCCCTCTAGATACTCTCTTCCTACTCTTCTCCACCTACTCTACCTACACCCATCTACCTACTCCCCTCTAGCTACTCTCTTCAACCTACTCTTCTCCACCTACTCTACCTACTCCCATCTACCTACTCCCCTCTAGCTACTCTCTTCAACCTACTCTTCTCCAACTACTCTACCTACTCCCATCTACCTACTCCCCTCTACCTACTCTCTTCAACCTACTCTTCTCCACCTACTCTACCTACTCTACTCTACCTACTCTACTCTACCTTCTCTACTCTACCTTCTCTACTCTACCTTCTCTACTCTACCTTCTCTACTCTACCTTCTCTACTCTACCTACTCTACTCTACCTACTCTACTCTACCTACTCTACTCTACCTTCTCTACTCTACCTTCTCTACTCTACCTACTCTACTCTACCTTCTCTACTCTACCTACTCTACCTTTTCTGCTCTACCTATTTTCTTCTACCTACTCTCCTCAACCTACTCTCCTCCACCTAATCTACCTACTCTACTCCAGCTACTATCTTCTTCCTACTCTACCTACTCTCTTCTTTCTACTCTACCTACTCTCTTCTTCCTACTCTACTCTATCTACTCTACCTAATAAACGGAATTGATGGTTTTTCTTTTGTTTTTTTCTCAGGCCTTGGTCCAGCGGCAGGAGCGGCGACAACGGGTGGCCCGATTCGGGGGCGGGCGACAACTCGAACGACGTGAAAGACCCCGCCCAACAATGGTCGGCTGCCCCTCAACCCTCACTGACTGATCTCGTACCTGAATTTGAACCCGGAAAACCATGGAAGGTCAGTGTACTAATTTATCTTTTTTGCCATTTCATTCAATTTGAATGCGTTCATTTCCAAGTTGATAACACCGGTTTTTCTTTCAACAAATTGAATGTTTTTCTTTCAGGGTAACCAAATAAAATCGATCGAAGACGATCCCAGTATTACGCCCGGCTCGGTCGTGCGTTCCCCCTTATCGATAGCCACGATAAAAGATAACGAATTGTTCAGCATGAATCCGGCCAAGAGTCCGCCGACGGCGATCGCGGCCATACCCGAGGCCATTCAATCGTTGAGTCTCGGCTCGTCGACGTGGAGTTTCAATCCCTCGTCGGTCGCTTCGAGCGCCTTCACCAGGTCAGTGTCAATATTGGATCATTATTTATTCAGAATTCATTAATTTATTCATTACTTATTCATTACTTATTCATGACTTATTCATGACTTATTCATGACTTATTCATTACTTATTAATTACTTATTCATTACTTATTCATCACTTATCCATTACTTATTTATTACTTATTAATTACTCATTCATTACTTATTCATTACTTATTCAATACTTATTCATTACTTATTCATTACTTATTCATGACTTATTCATTACTTATTAATTACTTATTCATTACTTATTTATTACTTATTCGATACTTATTCATTACTTATTCATGACTTATTCATTACTTATTCATTACTTATTCATGACTTATTCATTACTTATTCATGACTTATTCATGACTTATTCATTACTTATTAATTACTTATTCATTACTTATTCATCACTTATCCATTACTTATTTATTACTTATTAATTACTCATTCATTACTTATTCATTACTTATTCAATACTTATTCATTACTTATTCATTACTTATTCATGACTTATTCATTACTTATTAATTACTTATTCATTACTTATTTATTACTTATTCGATACTTATTCATTACTTATTCATGACTTATTCATTACTTATTCATTACTTATTCATTACTTATTCATGACTTATTCATTACTTATTCATGACTTATTCATGACTTATTCATGACTTATTCATGACTTATTCATTACTTATTCATTACTTATTCCATACTTATTCATTACTTATTCATTACTTATTCATTACTCATTCATTACTTATTCATCACTTATCCATTACTTATTTATTACTTATTAATTACTCATTCATTACTTATTCATTACTTATTCAATACTTATTCATTACTTATTCATTACTTATTCATGACTTATTCATTACTTATTCATCACTTATTAATTACTCATTCATTACTTATTTATTACTTATTCAATACTTATTTATTACTTATTCAATACTTATTCATTACTTATTTATTACTTATTCGATACTTATTCATTACTTATTCATTACTTATTCATGACTTATTCATGACTTATTCATTACTTATTCATTACTTATTCATGACTTATTCATTACTTATTAATTACTTATTCATTACTCATTTATTACTTATTCAATACTTATTTATTACTTATTCAATACTTATTCATTACTTATTCGATACTTATTCATTACTTATTCATTACTTATTCATGACTTATTCATTACTTATTCATTACTTATTCAATACTTATTCATTACTTATTCATTACTTATTCATGACTTATTCATTACTTATTCATTACTTATTAATTACTTATTCATTACTTATTTATTACTTATTCAATACTTATTTATTACTTATTCAATACTTATTCATTACTTATTTATTACTTATTCGATACTTATTCATTACTTATTCATTACTTATTCATTACTTATTCATTACTTATTCATTACTTATTCATTACTTATTCATGACTTATTCATGACTTATTCATTACTTATTCATTACTTATTCATGACTTATTCATTACTTATTCATGACTTATTCATTACTTATTCATTACTTATTCCATACTTATTCATTACTTATTCATGACTTATTCATTACTTATTCATTACTTATTCATTACTTATTCATTACTCATTCATTACTTATTCATTACTTATTCATTATTCATTCATCATTTATACAGGGTGTCTGTAAAAGTTCTTTACAAAAACATACCACATATTCCCTAGACCAAAATAAGTCGATTTAAGTAAAATTGCCTCAGTACAAAGTTGCATCGTTTGGGCTCCAGAGGGCCTTGAAGCTACAATTTCTAAATCGTTTTTCCCATATAAATTTAAAACGGCATATGCGATTTTGCTGAAATTTGGTATATTGATAAGAGTTTTATGTGGCAATGAAATGGTGTTAAAATTTTGTCCGATAATAATACATAGGCGTAGAACTTGATTTTTCAAATAATTGCACCTTTAAAAATTCTACGCCAATGGAATGAAAGGAGTTTGAGTATAAAATTTGGATTGGGTACTCATTTACTACAAAAAATTACCCTTGATAACACTCGATGGACTCTCATGGTTCTGACAAAGTTTATATTTTAATAATAATTGTTTATGTTCTAAAATTACTAAAATGCAAATTTCGTCAAAACCATGAGAGCAATCGAGTCTTATCACGAGAACCTTTTTTAAAGTTAATGAGTTGCGCAATTTAAATTTCTTACTCAAACTCCTTTTCTTCCATTGGCGTAGAATTTTTAAAAGTGCAATTATTTAAAAAATCAAGTTCTACGCCTATGTTTTATTATCTTATCATAATGTATTGTCACCGAAATTATGAACACCTGCCAAATTTCAAGTTAATCGGAGTTGTTGAAATTAAAAAACTGGCTGCTCCAAGATGGCGGACAAGATTTGGTCCGATCTCATTCAAAATTGGTAAATGGGGGTTTTTGAAGTCGGAGATTATAATTTTTTTGTTAAAATTTATAAATTCAAGATGGCGGCTTCCAAATAATTTTTTGTTTTTGTATAAATGACATAACTCCGTTGTTATCAACACAAAACTATTACTGCGACATATCATCTGTGAGAGAAAAAAGTTATTTGTAACTAACTCATAGTGAGCTATGACCTACATTTGAAAAACTAAAGTTGGTGCTGATATCTCAAATTCTAGGAGAGTTGGTATAAATTTCATATTTTTTTCGAAATCACTTCGAAAAACTGCCATGACAATGTGAAATTCCTATTTGAATATTTTCATAAATAAAGACGTTACGGAGCAGACATGAAAATGACCAAAATCTGTTTTTTGTGTATAAAACAGAAACGAATAGATTTTATCAAAATATTTTTTCACATTATAGTTGGCCTTGACAAACTCCACATTTGGTGTCATTTAACCGACCTCGTATCTCTCACCGTTAAAAAGATACCCATGGTGAGCATGGTAAGTGGGACACACTGTATACCAAATTCTTTTCTCACAATCATAATGTCAATATTGAACAAAAGCAGAACGGCAAATAATCCGAGCGACTCCATCCAATCTGACAACTCGAATGCCGATCGATGAATCACGTAATTCGACAATACACGTTTCTTATCAGACAAAACAAGTTGAATTTTAAGCATTGAGTATTCTACAGTTGGATATAAATTTAAGACAGGACAAAATAATTAACAATTGAAATACATTTTCAAAATATCTAACAATAGATTACATCTTCTATCTATCTCTATCTATTTATTTATCATTGTGGATTGTGAAGGAATTTATCGGTTTTACGTCAAAGAAAGAAAAATAGAAGAAAAAAGGTTCAGCTCATTTTATTTGAGACTCCCTTGAAAAAGATTGATAAGTACTTCTCTGAAGTGTTACTGTTTTTTCTAAATTTCAACTGTTTGAATTCCTCTGGAAAGATGATGCGGCACGCCTCTGAGGTAACATTTTCAGTTGTGTTCTAGACAGTGTAAAATATCGCAATTACTGCATTTTTATATCAGACCTCAGAAAAATAATTTGGCATGTCACTAGTGTAAGGAATTTCGTTTTCTTTCAGGCAACGTTGGAAAATATTCCGAAATTCCGACTTCGATTAGAAAAATATTTGGACGCCTCTGAAGTAACAATTCAAGTTCTCCTTGCAGAGTCTTCGAAATATTCGATATTACTACATTTTTATTTCAGACCCCCTCAAAAATGATTTTGTGGGACGCCCCTAAAGTAGTGATTTTCGTTTTCTCTCAGGTAATTTGGAAAAACTCCGATTTCGATTTCGATCTAGAACCCTCTAAAAAATAATTTGGGACGCTCCTGATGTAGCAGTTTGAATTTTTGCTTCAAGAAAATGTTGGAAATTAGAGGAATTTGAATTTTATGTCAGACCACCCAAGGAAAAATAGAACGTTCCTGAAGTAGCTGTTGTGATTCTCTTCCAGACTATTGAACGATATCAAAATTACTACTTTTTGATTTCGGAAACTCTCAGAACGCTCAAGATTTGGAATTAGCGATTGAAAATACCTCACAAAATAAAATTTTCAAACCAATCAATTCTTGACCTTGATGTTCCCACAGGAAAATAGGTCGAGATGATAGCAAAAGAATAAAATACATTGACTTACATAACTCGGGAGAAGAGCAATTTGACCAAATAAAAAACGATTGAAGATATCTCAAAAACTAGTAGTTGAATCGAACATTTTTTATACAGTGTGTCCCACTTACCATGCTCACCATGGGTATCTTTTTAACGGTGAGAGATACGAGGTCGGTTGAATGACACCAAATGTGGAGTTTGTCAGGGCCAACTATAATGTGAAAAAACATTTTGATAAAATCTATTCGTTTTTGTTTTATACGCAAAAAACAGATTTTGATCATTTTCATGTCTCCTCCGTAACTTCTTTATTCATGAAAATATTCAAATAGGACTTTCACATTCTCATGGCAGTTTTTTTGAGTGATTTCGAAAAAAATATGAAATTTATACCAACTCTTCTAGAATTTGAGATATCAGCACCAACTTTAGTTTTTCAAATGTAGGTCATAGCTCACTATGACTTAGTTACAAATAACTTTTTTTTCTCTTCCAGATGATATGTCGCAGTAATAGTTTTGTGTTGATAACAACGGAGTTATCGTCAGTTATACAAAAACAACAAATTATTCGGAAGCCGCCATCTTGAATTTATAAATTTTAACAAAAAATCATGATCTCCGACCTCAAAAACCAACACTTACCAATTTCGAATGGAATCGGACCAAATTTTGTCCGCCATCTTGGAGCAGCCATTTTTTTCAATTTCAACAAAAATTCCATAACTCCGATTAACTTGAAATTTGATAGGTGTTCATAATTTCGGTGACAATACATTATGGAATTTCTGTTGAAATTTAAAAAAATGGCTGCTCCAAGATGGCGGACAAGATTTGGTCCGATTCCATTCAAATTTGTTAAGTGGGGGTTTTTGGGGTCGGAGGTCATGATTTTTTTGTTAAAATTTATAAATTCAATATGGCGGCTTCCAAATAATTTTTTGTTCTTGTATAAATGACGATAACTCCGTTGTTATCAACACAAAACTATTACTGCGACATATCATCTGGAAGAGAAAAAGAAGTTATTTGTAACTAAGTCATAGTGAGCTATAATCTACATTTGAAAAACTAAAGTTGGTGAATGTGAAATTCCTATTTGGATATTTCCATAAATAAAGAAGTTACGGAGGAGACATGAAAATGATCAAAATATGTTTTTTGCGTATAAAACAAAAACGAATACATTCTATCAAAATATTTTTTCAAATTATAGTTGGCCTTGACAAACTCCACATTTGGTGTCATTTAACCGACCTCGTATCTCTTAGCGTTAAAAAGATACCCATGGTGAGCATGGAAGTGGGACACACTGTATATATTATAATAGTGGAATGATTCATATGAAAATTGATGAAATTCTTGTCTAACCTGAAAATATGGCCTACGTGGGAACAGGGGACGATTTCTAAGGTGCCTCCACACATCCACGTTTTGAATGACAGTTCCAGATTCTCTCCACCTCACATTATAGTTGGCCCTGACAAACTCCACATTTGGTGTCATTTAACCGACCTCGTATCTCTCACCGTTTAAAAGATACCCTTGGTGAGCATGGTAAATGGGTATATCGGAGCCATCGGAAAACCATTGGGCACACCTTGTTTCTTAAGACACTCGAAAAATCAGTCTGACCTCGGCTATAAATTTGCCGGGTCGGTTAATAACAGAAAGTGTTTCGTCCTTGGTACATAAAAAATTATTTCAGCCCGCCCGGAAAACTGCCCACGTCGAAGGGCGGCCTCGATCTCGGCCAAACCGTCACCGTGTCCTCCGAGTTGTGGGGCGCGCCCAAGTCGTCTCGCGGCCCGCCCCCCGGCCTCTCCGCCAAGGGGGGTGGCGGCGGCGGGGGCGGTTGGTCGTCGGCCAACGCGATGCCTTGGGGTGGCGGCGGCGGCAATCAGCGCGGCTCCGGCAATTGGGGCGGCTCGTCGCAGTGGCTGCTGCTCAGGAATCTGACGGCCCAGGTGAGAATTAGTTTGTTTTTTTCGGTGTCGCGTCAATTGGACGTGGGAAATTGGACGCACGACTATTGATCGCAGTCAATTGGACGCGGCGACAATTGGACGCGGCGACAATTGGACGCGGCGACAATTGGACGCGGCGACAATTGGACGCGGCGACAATTGGACGCGGCGACAATTCGACGCGGCGACAATTCGACGCGGCGACAATTCGACGCGGCGACAATTGGACGCATGCGTAAATAAAAATAATTTTATAATTCCAATGAAATTCATTGTGAAGGTTAGGTGTTGGGTTAGGTTAGGTATTTGTTATATTATAGATATGAGCCCTGCATATTCCATGCAATAAATTTCATTGGAATTATTAAATTATTTTTATTTTCGCATGCGCTCAATTGTCGCCGCGTCCAATTTTCGTCGCGTCCAATTGTCGCCGCGTCCAATTGTCGCCGCGTCCAATTGTCGCCGCGTCCAATTGTCGCCGCGTCCAATTGTCGCCGCGTCCAATTATCCGCGTCCAATTGACCACGTCCAATTGTCGGTAATCCGTTTTTTTCGACTTCTGAATTTTTTTTTTCTTCTTCAATTTTGATGATTAAGTGATATTGTTTCGTGGTTTATAGCGAGTGGTAATTTTCAGTGGGGAAACTCTGTTATAGTGCTAACTATGATGATTTCTTGTTGCTTTTCTTCCCCAACTTTGATAATTTTTTGGTGTTTTTTTCGCATCATTTTTTTTGGTTTACAGCAATTGATGAATCATAGTGAGAGGTTCCAAAAAGATTTGCGTGACTTCTGATGACTTTACAGAGACTTCCAATGACTTGACAGCTACTTCCAATGACTTTACAACGACTTTCACAGATAATTTCAAAGGTGTGACATCCCAAAACGAATATCGACATAAAAAATTCTCCGAGTCAAATGTTGGCAATGGCGTGATTTTGAGAACGTCCCACAAAGACTCGGGGAAATCAATAAACCTTCACTAACTTGAATTCCTATGATATTCAAATAATTTCCATAGCCTTCAAGTGAAACATCAAGTGGCTTCCAAACAATTTCAGTAATATTGGATGCCTTCCAGTGACATGAGAAGACCTCCAGTGAGATTCAAAGTAGAATTCAATGAGTTCCGGTGACTTTCAAAGACACTTAGTGTGATTGAAAAATTTCAAGTCACATTTGAAAACCTCGATTTTCAAAGATTTTTAGTGACTTCCTAAAACTTTAAGTGGCTCCCAAGCAATTTCAGTTACATTGAAAGACTTCCAAACAATTTCAGTGACATTGAAAGACTTCCAGTGACATCAGAAGACTTCTAGTGACATTCAAAGACCACCTGTGACATTCAGAGACTTTCAATAAAATGCAATAAGTTCCGGTGACTTTCAAAGACACTTAGTGTGATTCAAAAATTTCAAGTCACATTTTGAAACCTCGATTTTCAAAGATTTTTAGTGACTTCCTAAAACTTTAAGTGGCTCCCAAGCAATTTCAGTTACATTGAAAGACTTCCAAACAATTTCAGTGACATTGAAAGACTTCCAGTGACATCAGAAGACTTCTAGTGACATTCAAAGACCACCTGTGACATTCAGAGACTTTCAATAAAATGCAATAAGTCCCGGTGACTTTCAAAGACATTTATTGTGATTCAAAAATTTCAAGTCAGATTTTGAAACCTCGATTTTCAAAGATTTTTAGTGACTTCCTAAAACTTTAAGTGGCTCCCAAGCAATTTCAGTTACATGGAAAGACTTCCAAACAATTTCAGTGACATTGAAAGACTTCCAGTGACATCAGAAGACTTCTAGTGACATTCAAAGATCACCTGTAACATTCAGAGACTTTCAATAAAATGCAATAAGTCCCGGTGACTTTCAAAGACATTTATTGTGATTCAAAAATTTCAAGTCAGATTTTGAAACCTCGATTTTCAAAGATTTTTAGTGACTTCCTAAAACTTTAAGTGGCTCCCAAGCAATTTCAGTTACATGGAAAGACTTCCAAACAATTTCAGTGACATTGAAAGACTTCCAGTGACATTAGAAGACTTCTAGTGACATTCAAAGACCACCTGTGACATTCAGAGACTTTCAATAAAATGCAATAAGTTCCGTCGACTTTCAAAGACACTTAGTGTGATTCGAAAATTTCAAGTCACATTTTAAAACCTCGATTTTCAAAGATTTTTAGTGACTTCCAAAGACTTTTAGTGACTGTCAAAAATTTTCTATGGGTTTTGAAGACATTCAATGACTATAACTTATTGACTTTCAGTGACTATCAATGTTTTTCGTGAGTTTCAAAGACTTGCCATTACACCTTAAGACATATTTGGTCACTTCATTCCATTAACTTTCAATTCCTTCAAAGACTTGAAATCATTATTTGATTTATAAGAATTTTAGATGTCTTCCTAAGACTACTGTCATCCAAAGACTTGAGTGTCTTTCGAGAACTATTAGTGACCGTCATAGACTTAGTTACTCTCAAAATTTTCCAATATTCAATGAAATTCAATCCCAAATATAATCGTCAGGGTGTGATATTAACTTTGCAGCAATATATAATTTCAACAGGTTATTGAAATGGGGCCAACAAGAGACGACGGCTAAGTGCTGTGCCTTGTGGAATTCCAACATCAGAAACTTCCAGAAATCGCCGATTATTCTTTTCTTTTGCAATTTCCAGATTGATGGATCCACTTTACGCACATTATGTATGCAACACGGTCCTCTACAGAGTTTTCATCTTTACCTGCACCAAGGCTTCGCTCTTGCCAAATACTCGTCTCGCGAAGAAGCTATCAAGGTGAGTTTTTTTTTTCAGGTTTTGATCATCATAATTTCAACACTTGATACTTGAATATTGTGTTCTTGCTACTAGAATGAAATGAAACTATATTTCAGCCGTTTAGGTTATTTCTTCTTTAGATCACTGATCTGAAATCTAAGGCAAAAGCTAAGGAATAATGATGGCTGCTCTATAGTTTGTTCTGAAAATCAATCTCAATAAAATTTATATTTTGGTTTAATCCCAACAAGTGAACAACTTCTTCCACATGTATTTGTGGTCCGGAAATCTAGTATTTGTTAGAGGCACAAATAATTGCAGTGGATACTAAATACTTATACTGTAATGTCACAAAAATATACCGAACATTTCCAGTAACTTTATACTCCAACAGACATTTTGAATACTCCTACTTTGTGATTTCAAAACACTTCCAGTAACTAATTGACTTCCAAAAACTCCTATCAGATCATTATTTTTCAAACACTTCTATAAATTAATTGAATTCCAGATACTTCTTGAATACAATGACTCCCAAACACTTGGTCAGCCAGCAGGGCTGCTCTCAATTACTTTCACACACTATTATCTACTTGGTGACATTTAAACAATACATTAAATTCAGTGACTACCAAACACTACTGTTGATCAAGTGACTTTCAAGCACTTTCAAACGTGTAACTTCCAAATACCTTCGTTAATTAAGTGACTCTCAAATACTTACAGTACAGTAACACAATGACATTGTGACTTGTAAGTGCATCATGACTTCCGAACATCATGAATTTCCCTTTCCAGGCTCAGACCGTTCTAAACTTCACCGTTAATTGAGTGGCATCCGTGTTACGGAAGTGTGACTTCAAAACACTACCGTTAATGAGTTCCTTCCAAACCCTAGCGTCGATCAAGTGACTTCCAAACACTTTCAGACGTGTGACTTTCAAACACTAGTTAATTAAGTTACTTCGAACATTGCCGTTAATTTAAGTTACTTCCAAACACTATTGTCAATCAAGTTACTTCCAAAAACTTTCAGACGTGTTAATTTGAAACTTCCGTTAATTAGGTGACTTTCAAACATCGTTAATAAAGCGACTTTCAAGAACTTTTAGACGTGTAACTTCCAAACACCACCGTTAATTCGTGAATTTCCCTTTTCTCTTTCCAGGCTCAAACCGCCCTAAACAATTACACGTGTGACTTCCAAACACTATCGTTATGTAAATGACTTCCACAAACTACCGATATTCTAGTGACTTTAAAACACTACCCTCAATTGAGTGACGTCCAAACACTACCGTTAATTAGGTGACTTCCAAACACTACAATTAATTAATTGAGTGAATCTGAAACTCTGATTTCCTTTTCTAGGCTCAGACTGCCCTAAATAATTGCGTGTTGGGCAACACGACCTTCTTGTCGTTATACCTGACTGATTTTGACGTCAACACTTTGCTGCAATGAGTGGCCAGCCAGCGGAGCGGCTCTTAATGACTTTCGAAGACTACTCTCAACTCAGTGACATTTAAACCCTATCTGTTGATTCAGTGATTTGAACACTTCCACTTCCAGACATTACCGTTATTTAAAAGAATTCCTAACACTTTAACACGTGTGACTTCCAAACACTTTGAGTCGTGTGACTTCCAAACACTATCGTTATGTAAATGACTTCCACAAACTACCGATATTTAAGTGACTTTAAAACACTTCCCTTAATTGAGTGACGTCCAAACACTACCGTTATTCAAGTGATTTTCAAACACTACCGTTAATTAAGTGACTTCCAAACACTATCATGCACTATAAGTTACTCTCATACTAACATTCCCTATTCTGGGCTCATACAGCACTAAATAATTTCGTGTTGGGCAACACGACCTTCTTTTCGTTAAACCTGACTGATTTTGACGTCAACACTTTGCTGCAATGAGTGGCCAGCCAGCGGAGCTGCTCTCAATGACTTCTAAACACTACTTTCAACTCAGTGACTTTCAAACCCTTACTGTTGATTTAGTGACTTTAACACTATCAGTTTAAGAAATCACCGTTGATAAAAAGACTTTCAAACACTTTCACACGTGTGACTTCCAAACACTTTATGTTGTGTGACTTCCAAACCACTGTTATACAAGTGACTTCCAAACCACTGTTATACAAGTGACTTCCAAACAGAACCGTTAAGTAAGTGACTTGCGTAGACTACAATTAATTAATTGACTTCGAAACACTGAACTTAATTGAGTGAATCTCAATCTCCCATTTCCTTTTCTTAGGATCAGACTGCCCTAAATAATTGCGTGTTGAGCAACACGACCATCTTGGCGGAAAACCCGACCGATTGGGACGCCAACACGTTGCTGCAACAGGTTGCCAGCCAGCGGAGCTGCTCTTAATGACTTTGAAACACTACTATTAACTTTCAAACCCTAACTGTTGATTCACTGACTTGAACACTACCACTTTCAGACATTACCGTTATTTAAATGACTTCCAGACACTTTCACACGTGTGACTTCCAAACACTACCGTTATGTGGAAGTCTCCCACAAACTACCCATATTTTAGTGTCTTTCAAACACTACCGTTAACTGTGTGACGTCCAAACACTACCCTTAATTAAGTGACTTGCGAACACTACAAACACTTAATTGACTTCGAAACACTGAACTTAATTGAGGGAATCTCAAACTCCCATTTCCTTTTCTAGGCTCAGACTGCCCTAAATAATTGCGTCTTGGGCAACACCACCATATTGACGGAAAACCCGACCGATTGGGACGCCAATACCTTGCCGCAACAGGTGGCCAGCCAGCAGAGCTGCTCTTAATGACTTTCAAACTCTAACTGTTCATTCAGTGACTTGAACACTAGCACTTCGAGAAATTCCCGTTATTTTAAAGACTACCAAACACTTTCACACGTGTGAATTCCAAACATTTTAAGTCGTGTGACTTCCAAACACTACCGTTATGTAAATGACTTCCACTAACTACCGATATTTTAGTGACTTTCAAACACCACCCTTAATTGAGTGACGTCCAAACACTACCGTTAATTAAGTGACTTGCAAACACTACAATTAATTAGTTGAGTGATTCCCAAACCCCTTTTTCTTAATCTAGGCTCAGACTGCCCTAAATAATTGCGTGTTTTTCACAAGTGTGAATTCCAAACATTTTGAGTCGTGTGACTTCCAAACACTACCGTTATGTAAATGACTTCCACTAACTACCGATATTTTAGTGACTTTCAAACACCACCCTTAATTGAGTGATTTACAAACACTACCGTTAATTAAGTGACTTGCAAACACTACAATTAATTAGTTAAGTGATTCCCAAACCCCCTTTTCTTAATCTAGGCTCAGACTGCCCTAAATAATTGCGTGTTTTTCACAAGTGTGAATTCCAAACATTTTAAGTCGTGTGACTTCCAAACACTACCGTTATGTAAATGACTTCCACTAACTACCGATATTTTAGTGACTTTCAAACACCACCCTTAATTGAGTGAGGTCCAAACACTACCGTTGATTAAGTGACGTCCAAACACAACAATTAATTAGTTGAGTGATTCCCAAACCCCTCTTTCTTAATCTAGGCTCAGACTGCCCTAAATAATTGCGTGTTTTTCACAAGTGTGAATTCCAAACATTTTGAGTCGTGTGACTTCCAAACACTACCGTTATGTAAATGACTTCCACTAACTACCGATATTTTAGTGACTTTCAAACACTACCCTTAATTGAGTGACGTCCAAACACTACCGTTAATTAAGTGACTTGCAAACACTACAATTAATTAGTTGAGTGATTCCCAAACCCCTTTTTCTTAATCTAGGCTCAGACTGCCCTAAATAATTGCGTGTTTTTCACAAGTGTGAATTCCAAACATTTTGAGTCGTGTGACTTCCAAACACTACCGTTATGTAAATGACTTCCACTTACTACCGATATTTTAGTGACTTTCAAACACTACCCTTAATTGAGTGACGTCCAAACACTACCGTTAATTGAGTGACTTGCAAACACTACAATTAATTAGTTGAGTGATTCCCAAACCCCTTTTTCCTAATCTAGGCTCAGACTGCCCTAAATAATTGCGTGTTGGGCAACACGACCATCTTGGCGGAAAACCCGACCGATTGGGACGCCAACACGTTGCTGCAACAGGTGGCCAGCCAGCAGAGCGGTTCTTCGGGCTCTTGGCGTGGCACGGCAGCAGCCAAGCAACAGCAGCAGCAGCAACAGCAGCAACAACAACAGCAGCCGAGCGCCGCCGACACGTGGACTACGGGGTGGCCCAATAACGCGTCTGCGGCCAGTTTGTGGGCCGCCCCTCAATTGGACGGGGGCGAGGCTGCACGTGGCACGCCCTCTAGTTTGAATTCGTTTCTTCCCAACGATCTTTTGGGCGGTGAGTCGATGTAGATGATGGGGGAGAGAGAAAGAGAGGGAATGAATTGTTGTTGAGTTGTATCTTCGCGAACAATTATTAACGATGAGGATTGATGATGATGATGATGAATGGGAGAAGAGTTTTATTGAAAATGTTTTTTTTTTTAATATTAATTGAATTAACGATTGTGTATGAAAAATTCTTCGATGATATTTATTGTATTATTTAACAATCATTTTTATTGTTATTTGTAAATGTATTTCTATTTTTAATTTTTACGGTGATTTAAGAGTTGTTGTTTTTAGAGTATGTTTTTGTTTATTTTCAGTTATTATATGGAAAAGCATTCGATAAATATGTACGCTATTATTGATTTGAATTTCTCCTCGATTATTCGGCGACTTTTCCTCTGTTTTTTTCTCTTGTCCATTTTCATAGTGAAATGGCGGTGCGATTTGTTCCCTAGTCGCGCAAACTATTTTTTTCCAAAAATTGATCAATTTCTTGCTTACAGATAATACGAATTTGATTGTGAAGATGAAGAAAACTCGTCAAAGTAGCGTTGAAATTTTCAACTTCTAATTCGTGCTGTGACGACAATTTTAGGAAAAATATCGAGCCCTGTGATAAGTGCAAATACACCCCCGAAGTTGTTGTAATTTTGTGGATCAATTTGACAACCACTAAAATTGAACAATGTTTTTTTTTCAGTATGAATTTATTCGAGAGAAAAAAACCCGGAAAGATCTGGATATTTATGAAAAATACGGACTGTGAGGCGCGATTGTAGTTTTCCATTGATTTCACGCTCAATATCATAACGCACCTTTATTAATGTGACATTCGTAAAGTAATCCAACCTAGTCTCAATCAACAAGATTATATTAAAATATTGAATAGGTATATTAATTATTGTATGTGACCAAACTCATTAGTTCAATATTTTTAAGTACTGTAAAGAAAGAAGAAAATCTGTTTTCTCTTTATTATTAATTAAGGATATTTAAGATATTTTCCTCCTTCCCTTCTTTCGCCTGAATATTAACACTTTGTATATAAATGTTATTTTTTAATGATTTAATGTACCTACTTGAAGAAAGTTGTTTGTATGCGTTCTCCCAGGGTGGTAAACCGAGAGGGTGTTTTGACGCGAGCGGAAAATTGTAGTTTTGCGCGTCGACGAGTCGTTCTAGCCACCGAAAACCTGTGATCTCTGATTCCTTATATTATAAATATAAAATAATATCATATGTATCTATGATTAATTACACATAAAAAAAATTTACCCTCTTTATGCGATATTGTTGATTGAATTATTGAACGCGGCTCCAAACTAATAATAATAATAATAATTATTAAAAAAAACACCACACAACACACACACAAACACAATCAGTTTTAGACTGCACGATGTATGAAGTAATCTTGAAAATATATTAATTGTTATTTATGGTGAAATGACCGCATCATCAAAAGTGACAAATTATGAAATGTTTTGGCGCATATCGGAAAGAGTGGGGCACAAATTCCATGGGTAAGGTCGTCCATCTTGTAGTTTTGTTAGCGAAAAGCACATTTTTTTCTTCGGAAACTTTAGGAACTTGGATATTTGACAACCATTCGAGAATCTATATCGTTTTGTTAATGGCTGTTGAAATGGCGCCCAACGGTCCTTTCATGGGGTTGAAAAACAATAATTTTTCGTTGAAAAAAACGACACATTACACAATCATGCGGATGAGACTATAAGATGCTATAAAAATGATGTCGTCACTGTCTCTCATAAGGATAAGAGTATGATTTATCTTTGAAGGATAATTTTGAAGCGACTATTCGTAAATCTGTATGATTTTGGCGCCCAATTTGTTAATGTCTGTTGAAATGGCGCCCAACGTTCCTATTAAGGGGATGAAAAACATGAATGTTTGCCGAAAAGTAATCTTTGAAGCTTCTATAAACAGAATAGAACGTTGAAAAGTAGATAAGGTTTGTTGGAAAAACATGACACACCACACAATCAATCATGCGGATGAGACTATGAGATGCTATAAAAATACTGTCGTCACTGTCTTTCATAAGGATAAGAATATAATCTGTCTTTGAAGGATCATTTTGTAGCGACTATTCGTAAATCTGTATAATTTCGGTGCCCGATTTGTTAATGTCTCTTGAAATGGCGCCCAACGTTCCTATTAAGGGGTTGAAAAACATAAATGTTTGCCGAAAAGTAATCTTCGAAGATTCTATAAACAGAATACAATGTTGAAAAGTAGATAAGGTTTGTTGGAAAAATTCGACACACCACACAATCATGCGTCACTATCTTTCATAAGGATAAGAATATAATTTATCTTTGAAGGACCATTTTAAAGCGACTATTCGTAAATCTGTATGATTTTGGCGCCCAATTTGTTAATGTCTGTTGAAATGGCGCCCAACGTTCCTATTAAGGGATTGAAAAACATAGATTTTTGCCGAAAAGTAATCTTTGAAGCTTCTATCTAACATGACACACCACACAATCATGCGGATGAGACTATGAGATGCTAGAAAAATACTTTCGTCACTGTCTTTCATAAGGATATAAATATAATTTGTCTTTGAAAAGGAGCATTTGGAAGCGATAAATCGTAAATCTGTATAATATTGACGCCCAATTTGTTAGTTTGTTGAAATGGCGCCCAACGTTCCTTTTAAGGGGTGAAAAAACAGAGATGTTAGCCGAAAAGTAATCTTTGAAGCTTCTATAAACAGAATAAAACGTAGATGAGGTTTGTTGGAAAAACATGACACACCACACAATCATGCGGATGAGACAATGAGATGCTAGAAAAATATTTCGTCACTGTCTTTCATAAGGATAAGAATATAATTTATCATTGAAAGACCATTTTGAAGCGACTATTCGTGAATCTCTATGATTTTGGCGCCCAATTCGTCAATGTCTTTCAAAATGGCGCCCAACAGTCATGTCGAAAAATAGAAAACATCAATTATTGCCTTTAAAAAGTTCTCAAAGCATCTTTGAACAAAAACATCATTGCACAATCAAATCGAAATTTTGTTGTAAATGGCGTCATCTCCAAGAATATTTCACTATGTACTCGTAGATATCAAATAAAAAAGTCAAAATAATCTCTCGAATAGTACAATCAACTTCAAACACTATGTGGTGAATCGATCCATAACGTTCCTAATGTTTCGGAAGAAGAAAAAACTGTGAATATTGTCAATTCATTTCAATCAGAACAGACAAAAATTTCGTGCTCTGCATCTTTACCTCAGAGATGGGAACAAAAAGTCAGGTCAGATGGTCTCGAATTGAATGTTCTTCCGTTTGACGGTAAAAATCTCGCCCAAATATAATTGAACTCCAAAATGAACTATTCTCGATTCATGGAAGACTTCAAGCAAAACTTCTGTTCAATGAGAATAAGAAGAAAAACAAATGAAATCAAATCGTGATGCTCTAGCCTGAAGAACTGATGTTTTTGCAGAAAGAAAGCATGACTTCGTTGATTCAGTTTAAAAATGACTGCATATTTCTGATAATATGCATTTAATTGTTTAAAAACAGAAGGTGAAAAACATCTTTGAAGATCTTCCAACCCAGTGGCCTTATTTTAGGCCATACAATCCACAGAGTAGTCAACAAACGACGATCAAAGACCTTAAAATGAACTGGCTTTTTCGAATAAATCTTCCTGACTAAATAGTCTGGATGGTAGTTCAAAAAAACTCACTCAGAATTAAGTGAAGCTCCTAGGATTTTTTGATGATTTTTTTCGCAGTGAAACTATGAAAACTTGATTCCCATAGCAAAAAAGGGAATACGAAAAATCCTATGAGTCTCATCTTAAACCTCACAACTACCTGCCTGTACTACATCTTAATGATTAAATCCAAATATTAAATGTTATGTGTACTATAAAATATGCGTTAGACATAGATTTCCTTTGATGTTTTATATTTAGTCCACAAACTGTGATTAGTGTTCTAAAAGTGGGCGCTGAAGCAATGCCTACAGAAGTTACAATCACTTTACTTCGTTGAATGGTGTTCATGAAAATCAACAGAAAAATATCGATTCTTCTATCGCTAACAGTTTAAGAGTGCAAAAACAACAAGGCGGGAAAATTATTTCCGTTTCGATACGCCCGCTCGCTCCTTAATATGCGTCGAGATCAAACGGAAATATTTAGTTTAGGTCGAACTATATGCTGAAACACTGTATTTGTCCATCGGGATACAAGAAAATCAACGAGAGTCTATTTTTAGCGCCGTGACATTCTCGCGACATCACTGTTATATCTATGTTATTACTGTTACATATATGTGACATTATTGTAACATCCATATAACATTGTTACATCCATGTGATATTATTGTGACATCCATGCGATATCGTTGTGACATCCTGGCCTAGAATGAAACATCTCGTTGACCGAATACCAAAAAGCGAGTCTTCTTTCCGATACTGATGCGTTCTGTGATGTTATTTAATTAGATCGTATTGAAGAGGTTGACTCATTTTTTGTGCAGCTCTTTACGCAAAGTATTTCAGTTGGTGCTCTTATATCAAAGTATTCTAGTCTTGGTTGTATTTCCGTTTGTGACGTCGCTGCGATCTAGTTGAAAGAGAAGACTGACACTCACACAAAAACCACAGATCTTGAAGTTCTCCTTATTTTTAATTAATTATTATCGTTTTTTTATTGAATTTGCAATAAGCATTTAATATTGGCGTGGGCGTATCGAAGCGGAAAGTTGGCGTATGTATGACTGCGATTTCCGTCTCAAGTTTTCGAGTACACAACTGTGCTGTGACTTTTAAGTGGCTTTTTAGTTTTTAAATGATGAAAAACAAAAAAGAGAAATATTCTAAGGAGCTCTCGTCGCGAATTTTGTCGAATTTCATCGAGTTGCCATCTTGTACACCTGTTGAGCCACCTGTTGAGGTAAAAATTTCGAGATTTTGTGTCAAGGGCAGCTTGATGGATTTTCGATTGTTCGATTTTTGGATGGTGCGAAA